ATAATTTGTAGCTTTTATTTTAAATCAACTCTGGTCCTGTATAGGCTACAATTCGTTATATTTTTAGGTATGATAGTGTCATAGAAAAATCTCTACATTAACATCAACCATCTACCGTGTCAGTAAGAAAATACTTTTTTAAAATTAATTAACAAGTGTGCAAGAAAGCTCTGTTCAATTATAATGAACGAGAAATCACAATAATTATTTTCCTGCATCACTAATTTTAATATTTTATCTGACAATCATTTGATTAACTATTATATTAAATGCTAACATTACGTACTACGTGTAACGCGAATTTCATTCCAATATTAACATATTCTTCCCATAATCAAATTATAACTGATAATACAAGAAACTAATACTTAATGTAACATATTAAAAATGTATGTAATTTTATATTTATATTGTTAATATACTGTGCTTTAGCACGGTTTGTAACTTTATTATGTATCTTGAGCACTGGCTCCTTATTAAAATAACGTCAAGATTTCATATCTTGTGGGACATGCTATGTAAAATAAAACGTTTGTAAAAATATAGAACATCTATTAGTTGATGATCGGTTGCATTATTTATATAGAATGATGATATGACTATAAAATTGTAATAACAGTTTACTATTCCCGCCAGATATGTTCCATAATTAACCTATAAATGTGATCACCAGTGATCAAGTTATGTATAAAGCTTTAGTAGAGATATCTCCTACATTACTTAAATCAAATGGAATAAATGTAATTAAACATTACATTAATTTAGAACGATAAATATCAATTCCTTTTTTTCATCATCAGTTATAAGTTATAACATTATGTTAATTAATTATGACATTATTTTTTATGTTTATTAAATGTAAGTATACAGAATGGGATATGAAAAATGTTGTATATTATGCTTGTGGATAATTGATTTTTTGTTATTATGCTAAGTACCACGGCCAACATAATTTAATATTAATTTTCTGTCCAACATTATTTAAAGCAAATCATAAAATATATATTATATCGTTTCTATTCAAATTGAAATCCTAAAGAATTACAGCGCTACAACATTTAACATTATAATGATCTTTGGTAAAATAAATGGAATCGACATCTGCATATCACCAGTACCAAAATGAATTCACAAAGAAGTAATACAATTTCATTACAACTCACAAATACATATTATGAAATATTTTACACTTATTTATTTATGTACCTATGAATATTATGAATGAAAATACTGTTCACAAGTCGTGCATTTGTGCGCACGCGTTAATAAAATATTACTGGTAGTAGTGGTGACAACTGGCAATAGTCTTATACAACATTATATAAACTATATAAACATATCGCCAAAATTACCAAGTGTTCTCAATTTGACCACCTTTGATATGCAAGCTATCTTTAATTATTATATATACTCGTATATCTTAAAAATTAAATAAATTTATTCAACACTCTTTTTTACTATAATATACAAAAGTTTTCTGACATCTCATTTAAAGAGAAACTGAAGACTATATACAGATATAAATAAGTAAGTTTATGTAGTAATGATGTAAAACGAGGCTAAATTTCAATTTTTAATACCTATGTTTTAAATGATGCTTCATAATTGGGCACAAGTTTTCTCATATTTTGTTTTAGTTAATAGTGGCATCAAGACCGAGACTCCATCCGGTAATCAAATTCTAGAGTTTTTATTCAATTTATCATCATCATCATCATCATTACAGCCCTTAACAAGTCCACTACTACAGAACAATTCAATGTAGGCTTGTTTAAATCTTATTCATCTATATAGCTTACTTTTTTTAACAAAAATTTCATTATGTTTTTAAATTTTGTATCCTATTGTTGCACTATATTTTTTTAGAGATTTTATCGTAACCTCTAGCGTATTACTTTGACCCATCATTCTACAGGATACAGTCCCTTTTTTTTACAAAAAGAAGGTATTTAATTCGACCGTATGTTTTTTTTAATGTGTTACGTCATAACTTTTCTCCTGGTGAACCGATCCTGATGACTTTTTTATCTGAAAGCTGGTGCTTTTCGTGTGGTCTCATACAAATTCAAATCTAATCAAGATCTGACCAGTAGTTTTTGGGTTATCTTCAATAACGCGTATTTAATCGACTTCGAATACATTTATTTGGTCGTATTGAAGTCGGTTGTACAAAATTTTTAATTTTACCACTTGTTATTAAGTAAATTAATATTTTTCTGTACGTATATAACAAAAAAACAATGACGGAAGTGTGAAAATATTAGTCTCTATAAATAATGGCGCGGCGACTCGCGAGTTCCTATGTTAGGTATAGATTGTCCGTATCGCTTGCTTTTTGCAAAATGAATATTGTTTCCAATCCATCTAATGTGATCCATAAGAACTCTTTTATATTCATTTTGCTGCTATTAGCTTGATTAAGTCATTCTAAGAGTCTTAGTCGGCTTGAGATTGATCGTTGTGGTAATTCTTTTAGATTTTTCAATAAGGGTCACAAACGAGCCCACACTACATCTGATGGTAAGTGAATGCCGTGGCCCATAGACATCTACATCTATCCTCAATAAAGAAAAATATAGATGCTATATCACCTTTGGGGACTAAGATGTAATGCCTCGTTTTCCAGTCAAAAGGGATCTCCGGTTCTCTACACTCACCATACCATACCATACAGTAGTTATAGTTGCTATTTTACGCCGGTATTTTGTGAGAACGTGGTCCTACCTCGATCGAGCCGACCCGACCGTGTTGCAACTGTAATATATTTGCAGCATGGCTCTACCACATCAATATAACATGTTTTAGTACAAGAAAGTATTATGTTGTCTTTTGGTTTGAATACTTCATCTTTCACTACACTTCTAGCAATGAGAAAGTTTTAAACGTAAAGACGGTATAGAGAAATATGCCTTTTTGTTAAATAATTATGAGAGTAATCTAACACTTGTATATGAAAAATAATTCTCCTGCCTTTTGTATTTACTTTTACTTTATCTAGTTGGTTGCTCGGAAAACCATTCGTATTTATTTTATTGACGGTAGGCTTGCCAAATCGTTTATCCCTTTCCAAAACGATAATATTCCTACCCTCCTATCGACACATCGGGGTGGTGGGGTGGGAGGGGAGAGAAGATGATTCTAGAATATTACGCGATCATCGCAACCGAAGGAATAAAAAGGCACGCGCGGCCGACGCGCACTCTCTTCCCGCCGCGCTCGTCGTTGGAACCACACCGCCTCTCTCCCGACGCACGACCGGACAAGAAAACATCTCTGGGGCCCCAGAGTGCAAGTCGCAGCGCAACAACATAACATATCAAGTCGCATGGAAGCAACGCCCCGGTGAGTGAATATTCTTTACTAGTTCCTGCTTGATATAATTGTGTCTAAATCCGCTCCAATTTATTTTCTCCTAATCAAGCAGGATTCCTTTCATAGATTTGGCAAATAATAGTTCGTTTTAGGGAAGAGCGAGTGCATTGTATGGGAAACCGCGTGCTATAGTCGCCATTTTATGTAAACGTAGAAGCATTTCGCATATACAGTCCATTTGGGTTTAACATCTCGCGTAATAGGCTCAAGGCTCGACCGGGGAATTGGACTTCGGTAACCTTAGGCTCGTCGCTCCACCACTAGTCGTTAATCGTATTTTATCAAAGTAGAGAAACAAACTGGTTTTATAAAATAAGTCAGCCAATTATTATAAGATTTATGCTTAGCAGAAAATTGAAAATCTACATGAATTCAACAAGTGTTATTATAGTTAACTTTCAGAAACATTGAAAGGACGGTTTTAGTAAATATATATTATTAAATGCAATGGAACACAGATAGGTACATTTTGTGGCTGACTTAATTTATCATTTTAGCGATAGTTTCATTGTGGTGGGGATATAATTTATATGAATATTTCTACTGAACTTATAGACATGTCACCACTAAACCAAGAATAATTTTAAAACAGCTTTTAAAATCACATGGTATATCTTGTGGAACTTATTCTAATATTTAAAGCGATTAACAAAATAGACGACGTAAGATTATAGCAAGATAGTAAGATTAAAAAGTACGAAAAAATCTTTTACAGTTTTAAGGGCAACATTAATACAATGTTAGGCCTTTTTGTGTTTAATGTGACAAAATTACATCAACACACAAACACGTGGTGTTACTTAGATTAAGTGTTAATTACTTTTTGTAAATTAAATACATTTTTCACATTAGTTATAAGCTTATAAGTCAGTTAGGAAAATTTTCTTAATAGTTATGTTTTACATGCTAATGAATACTAAAATTTTATAAAAAAAATATTGACTACATTATCTAAAGCAAAGTGTAAGTAAAGTCGTCGAGAGTACTTTCTGTACATAAATAAATAGAATATAAATTGTATAAAAATAACAACTACTCATTCCATAAAACGATTTGTCTTTAGGGGGTTGATGGCACAGAGGGACTAAATTAAGAGGTGGGTAAGTAAGAATCTCAAGTAAATTTAAACGTTTTACAATTTGTAATTCTTTAAAGGAAGACGGTCACCGCATATACTTCTACGTAATGTATCTATACTATGTAATATATTAATATATTAATCCTACATAAAATAATCCTCGAAAATGATACTAACTTCAAACTTTTGTGTAAAACATGGAATGTTCATTTGTAATGTAACTGTTTCCTAACAAATGCTGCAGCTGTATTGGATTATAACAGCTTCTTATAGCACATTATCATTTCCAAAAATATACGTTTTTCTTGTATACAAATGAATTCATACTAAAGTTGCACTTTTTACTTTTAAATAGATAACTGTTATTATAAATAATTTTTCTAGCAGTTATATACATAAAATCTCGAGCACATGTTCATATACAAATTATTACGTAATTATATTTTTAATTTCTCTTTACACTATTTTTTATTTTTAATTGTGACTTAGATTTTGGCTTTAAAGTGAAATTGAGGCAAGTAGTAAAAATGTCCTTCGTATACCTTTGAAATTAGAGTTGTGTTGGCGGAAATCGGCGTTGGGGCTTGATTCTTCGCTGGGCGAGTGTCGATTGTGTGACGGGACCCAGCACTTGGGGCGTTAGCGGTGCGGATGTCATAGCCTAGAATAGATAAACATTATGAACATAAGTATACATAAAGCTGAATAGTTAGTAGTACCTCAAGTCTATCTAAAGTAAGAATTAATTAAGGCGCAATTGCACTTGGTCGTTTGCCCGTATTCGGGTGCCTATGGAATTCAGGTAAACGATTAAGTGTAAATGAACAGAGTAGAGTGCGCCCGCCTTCGTTTTGGTTACCCGAATCAAGATACTCGACGCGGTTTTGGCGGATGTCATAACGTACGCACACACGTACCTCACCGAACGCGGGCGCAGAGTCGTTTGCCCGTATTCGAGTAAAAGAATGTAATGAATTCGAGTAACGACTTTAGTGTAATTACGTGTTTCGTGTCTATAGTGTAATTGCACCATTAATACAGTTTGGTAATGAGGCAAAAATTTACCGAAATTAGCTATACATATTACATACTCGTGTTTGAATGTACAGGTTGAGCGCTGCCACATGTACAGGCAGTGTTCTGCATCAACATTTAAACGCCGTCATATCTACGGAATATTATAAATAAGAGAAAGAACAACGTGGGACGGGCCTCACATGTCATAAATGACGGAGTGCTGCCTAATTGACTGTCAGTTGCAGGGTGATCCATCGTTGTATAAAATCCGATAAACTTGCACACAATCATAATATTGTGCGTGTGAGTTGGGCGTCTAAAATAAAGCGAGAAAAACATATCGCTGTTTCTTTCCTTCGCGTTGTTTCAGATTGCCATTTTAAAAATTAGATACAAAAATACATATTATATCGGAAGAAACTGAAAATGAATTCTGTGTTAAACCTTTTTTAGGGTTCCGTAGTCAACTAGGAACCCTTATAGTTTCGCCATGTCTGTCTGTCCGTCTGTCCGTCCTCGCTTAATCTCTGTGACCGTTAGCACTAGAAAGCTGAAATTTGGTACCAATATGTGTATCAAACACGCCGACAAAGTGGTAAAATAAAAATTGGAAAAAAATGTTTTATTAGGGTAGCCCCCCTATATGTAAAGTGGGAAGTGATTTTTTTTTTAATTTCAACCCTAACGTGTGATATATTGTTGGAAAGGTATTTAAAAATGAATAGGGGTTTGCTAAAATCATTTTTTGATAATATCAATAATTTCGGAAATAATCGCTCCAAAAGTAAAAAACAATGTGTCCCCCCTCTCTAACTTTTGAACCATAAGTTTAGAAAATCTGAAAAGTAGAACTTTATAAGGACTTTCTAGGAAAATCATTTTGAACTTGGATGGAAACAACAGGGACCCCCACTACCGGGAGCAGTTGCAGGAGCACACCTTTAAACTCATAAGTGGGAACACTTATTGTGACGGACGGGAAACTACGGAACCCTACACTGAGCGTGGCCCGACACGCTCTTGGCCGGTTTTATTTTTCGTTTTGCTTCTTAAGAGTATAATTAGTAATTACATTTGGGCATTATATTAATATTATACATGAATAGATTGGACTTTATGGGTTAACCTGGGTATAGAATTTTTATCGATATATTTTGTCTCACTGTCTTATCTCTATTATTAATTCCGTGGACGTTAACTTCTGCTGTCAGCGCCAAAACGGCCATCTATAGAGGTCAGTGCTAGTTACATACATTTTACTCTGAGATTTACACAAATAATTCAACTATTTATTGATTGCAATTAAATCATTAAATATTAGCAGAATTCTACAAAAAGAAACATTGAATTAAAAGAAGGAAAAAAAATACATTTGTTTGTCAACGTCTTTCATATATTATATTTTTTTTTTTTATTATATATATAGATAAAATATTTATTTCATAGGTTCAGATTTTAATATTTATTATTATTGATTAATTTAATCAATAATAATAAATATTAAAATCAGAACCTATGAAATAAATTTGAATAAATTTCTATAAATATTTAGTTATTATCGGTTTAGAACTCTTCATTTTCGTTTGTAGGCATTTCCTCGCGATTGTGTATATAAAGAATTTTTGTGAGATATTGAATCTGTATGAGACATTGACTATAAATTAATTCGTTATTTACAAATTTTATACACGATGTGTGATCAGAACCAAAAGTAAGTTAAGTGTCGTGCAAACAAAAAACACAAATTATCTTATCACTTTCCGCAGGTATCCTACACTAGAAGAAGAAAAACTTGCGACAAAATTGTGGTAAATCTATTATTACTATATTGACTCGAATTTTATCTGTTTCAGATCACGTATTTGGGCTGAGTTAAGTTTTTACCATAAGAATTTTGCTAATTTACGTTAATGTTCTGTGAAGAATAAATCACAATAACATGTATTATATATCAAAAACCTATTTCCAAATATTATCTGCGAAAGCAATAAAACATCAATAATTATGTTTAATGCATAAAACTATTACTCCAACGTAGCCCTTGAAGCCTTACATGGAGGCTATTGGAGCAAAAAAACCAATCTGCTATGCATCTAGGAACCTAAGCGATAGTGAAGTCAATTCCAGTACAATAGAAAAAGAACATAAGCATAAACCCTCACGCCTGTCACCTCAGGCAGAGACTACAGACTTCCATTTGGCACGATCCTGACACACCTCTCTCGCCTCCTTCACATCCATATACCTACGCATACATGCTCGTCGGTTAAGGGTACTCCTAATTTGGCCCGTTTTTAATAAATCGCTAATTTGGTCGATAAATTTTCGCCTAGGGCGTCCCTTTCCGACTCTTGCCATTCACTTCTGCAACATAGATTTTCTTTGTCATTCTTTCCGCATTCATTCTTTCCACATGACCAAACCACCGAAGCATTCCTTTCTTAATCCTGGTCACAACATCATCTTGCAAACCACACTCTTCTCTTATCACACAATTTCTCACCCTGTCATTCAGATTCAGCCCTAACATACTCCTCAACGACAGCATTTCTACTGCATTTATTCTACTCTCGTGCTTCTTCTGCCACACCCAACTTTCACTACCATAAGTTAAAGTAGGGATCAACACAGCATTGTGAATTGCCATACGTGCCCTTTTTGACACATTTTGACTCTTCACAATAGAGTGTAGGGCCCCATTTACTCTTTTTCCTGCGTTCACTCGTCGTTCTATATCCTTATCATATCTCCCATCCCTGCTAAATACGCAACCCAAATATACAAACTCATCCACTTGCTCGATCAACTCCCTTCTATTCTTATTTCACATATCGTTTTACTTTCATCTCTTTCAAAAATCATAATTTTCGTCTTACTTGCGTTCACTTTCATACCCCTTTCTTTTAATGATCTGTACATTAATGTAATCATCATTTGAAACTCAGCCGCCAACGACGCAAGAATAACTTGATCATCGGCGTACAAAAGGCATTTGACGGTTAACTCACCCATTCTTAATCCGCAATCTTCAACTTTCAAATTTTGCAAACAACTGTCCATAAATAGGTTGAACAGCCACGGGGAAGCCACACAGCCCTGTCTGACACCTTTATGGATGCCAAACCAGTCCGAGTAGACCCCGCTGATCCTAACACAAACACTAGAGTCCCTATAAAGAGATTCTAATGCCTGTATCAAGCCAGTGCTCAACCCAAATGAGTTCAGTGTTTGCCATAGCACATCCCTATCCACTCTGTCATAGGCCTTTTCATAATCCATGAACGCACAAAAACCTTTTGGTTTTTGGCCAAAAACTTCTCCGCGATCATGCGCATGCAAAAGTCTTGATCTGTACATCCCATTCCCATTTTATTTGCATCATAACTAACAAAACGAACCCAAACTCGTCACACCTAGTTCGACTAGTCTAGGAGTTCCAGTTGTAACCACCTGATTACACCTTCAGGTCACTCAATCAAGTCCGGTGGTAAGGTCTCATCATAACTAACAAAATAAGCCCAAACTCGGCACACCTAGTTTTACTCTGCAAGAAGTTCAAATAGCGGTCGCGAAAGTACACCTTCAGGTCACACCATCAAGTCCGGAGGTAAGGTCTCATCATAACCAACAAAACGAGCCCAAACTCGGCACACCTAGTTCCGCTCGTCCAGGAGTTGCAGTAGTAGGTAAGTTTATATATCCTACTTATTTTTAGCGAAATAAAAAACTGTGAGTATAAAAATAATAATTTTATCACTTGTCAAGTACTTATGTTTCCAATTTGTTTTTTTTCTAATATTTTGTGTACGTACAGCGATCTTTTCAGAATGAGCCGCTGCAAACAGGCGATACAGTGTCCACTCACGACGGCGGCCGAGCGCGGACTGTGGTTTCATCGAAATCTTTGTACAATAAATCAAAGCAGGCACCAACAATAAAATAGCCCTTATTGCAACAGATTATAATTCATCCGTATTAGCAAAATATGTAAAAAAATGTGCATCAGTTTTTATTTTTTCTACGACTATTTGTGACATTTTGATAAAAAATAAACACAGGGTTTTTTAATTGAATATGTCTTCTTGTCATCTTATAGTATCTTTAAATTTTTTAAATATGTTGATAATGCTACACACAAGCCGGTATCGTTAATTTTGTATAAAATGGCAACGAAAGTTCGTTTTTACAATATAAAAAACTACTATTTTCAACAAAAGAGTTACATACGTTTGCAGATGAAAAACCAATCTATACATGGTAGTTTTTACTTATATTTGATTTGGTTTAGTTTTGTCACAAAATCTACCGAAAAACACCCTAATTTTGGTTGATTTGCAAAGGCGTCCTTAAAGTGTGATTCCTTAGTTCTCACAGTTCACAAGCCAGAATGTTTTTGTCAGACGCATACTAAATAATTTATTAAGATAAAAAGAGTTAGAGAGTTAAAAATTAAAAAGAAAACAATTATAATGCAAGTCAATGGGGCGTGGAGCAGATGGGGAGTTACTATGCTCAAGAGCTAGTTTCGTGGCGATCTCGCGTACCTTATCTCTCTATAGCGGGGAGCTCACTATAGTTTGTTCGCGCTATGAAAAGTAGTGTTATGAAAGCTAGTGAGTCGTCCACTACGGTAAAGGTGTATAGACAGTGGAGTAAAAATTTAAACAACTTATATTTTAAAAGATAAAGTATAATAGACAAAAATTTCAAATTAAATCAAAGTTATTAATATATAAACTGTATTTTCAGTTACACCGCTTGAATAATTGTTGCTTTTAATACTGCATTTTCCACAGTCACATTTAAATCACACAGTTTAAAATACTTAAAAACATTGTAACATATTAGTTATTTTTCACTATGAATAATTATCGATCCACTTCTATTCTTATGAACAGATGAGGTATTCATTTTTAAAATTTAATTTAGGTAAGGCGCAACCTAAGGCGCAAGCAAAGGACAAAGCCAAGCCGGTGGACAACGATGCCTTACTATTTTCATAAAGGGGCAGGGGCACTCTAGGGTGTACATCGATCGGGGCAATATCAGAACTATCTACTCACATGCCTGCCGTTCAGTATGAGAGTGGTCTCACTGGACACACGCGTTGAGAATGGCTCCAGTTTTATCAAAATATCAATAAATATAGCCTTGGCTCCTTTTTATCTATCTATCTATATAAAACACAAACAATGTTTCTATATATGTCCGTTATAGACTTTGAAACCATCCAACCGATGTGCCCCAAACCGGTTTCATTAGAAAGGCAATAATGCGAAGATGGTTTTAGACCACTAAAACAATGCATTAGGCACTGTATAAAAAGTTAATAAATAAACAAAATTTCGTTCTTTTTTTCAATTAATAAACAAAATGTATTTCTTTTTTAGTGAGTATTCTACGACCAATAATACTACTAGATTCCCGATAAGCGCTTCAAAAACGGCCCGAAAAATAAGACCACAAATAGGTACTTATTATAACAATACACAATATTTATACAATACTTTTGTAGTCTTATTTCAAATTAGTATGGTCCAATCATAGCCATTTTAACGAACATTGAAATATAATACCAAGAATAAAATAGAGTAAGCACGAAATTGTTAACATAATATTTTTAACCTTATCACTTAGACTTTAAGTTTCATTTCAGAATAAATATTTGTGTACTTATGACTATTTATATTCAAGCGGTATCTTTGTCGGATGCCATGACTTAAGTATTTTGCAATGGTATTTAAACTTTACGTTTGAATAATAAGGTTTATAATAAACTGAAGTTGTTAATATTTTTTTATCTTTTTTCTATATTTCATAGTAAGAAATATAGATGTTTACGTGTTTGCAAACGTGGTCACTTGACCGACTTATTTTTGTTCCTGATCCCTAATCTAGTATAATCATTGATCGAAGGTAGTAAGTAGCACACGCCGCTTATCCACTAGTATAGAATAAGGTGACAAACGAACACACAGCCCACCTTTTGTTAAAGTGGACACTGTGGCCCATAGACATCTACATTTATTTATAAAACAACTAATTAATAAATCATTACTTACATAATATAGTGCTTGTAAGCTGCAGCGTGGTTTAAAAGTCGTTACCACGTTTAAAAACGTTGTCACGTTAAAAAACGTTACCACTTTAAAAAACGTGCGTGTGCTCCGTACGAAAGTACACGTGTGAGTACAAGACACATGCTTGTACTGAAGTACTGAACAAGTCACAATATATATCAGAAAGAGTGTGAAATTTGGACACGGGTGATAGAAGTGTATAAAGAGCGGTTTCTTCACCCAGTATCTCCTTTTTCTCTTTTTTTTGCGGATGCACCGAAGAAAAAATGTTATAACACGTTCATGTTAACCGTTTTTAACGTGGTAGAGTCATGCTGCAGCTATTATATTATGGTTGTAATTATTAATTAATTAGTTGTATTACGGCTAAACGTCCGTGTCTATAGGCTACAGTATCCACTTACCATCAGATGAACAGTGTATTCGATTGTTACCCTTATTCTACAAAAAAAGAGCCAAGGCTATATTGATACTTTGATATTTCGTTAAAACTGGGCCATTCTTCACGCGTGTGTTCAGCGGGATGTACGCTCTCATAATGAGCGGCATGCACGTATGTAGAGAGAATTCTGATATTGCCTCGATCGCTGTACACATTCTTGTACTGTACAAAAGCGACAGTAGCCTAATGGCAGGGCGCGGGCCGCGAACTCAAAAAGGTCGTGGGTTCGAATCCGCCATTCGACTACTGGCGTGAACCACTCATAACACAAGCAATTTAAGCTTACTACGAGTGGTTAAGTGGAATATTAGGAATGTTTATAACATTGTTAATATTCTTTTAAAAAAGAAAAAAAAATTTAGTTTGCCCCTGTGGCAGGCATGTGAAAAGTCGCCTTAAGGGGAACGAACTAAAATTTGTAGGCGAGGCGCGCACGTACTTGGAAGGTGAGGTCCACGGCGCGGCGCAGGTCGGCGAGGGGCGGAGCGGGCGCGGGTGCGGGCGCAGGGGCGGGGGCGGGGGCGGGGGCGGGTGCGGGCGCGGGCGCGCACAGCCAGGGCTCGCGCAGCAGGTCGGCGGCGCGCGGCCGCAGCGCCGGCTCCAGCGTCAGCATGCGCCGCACGCACGCGCGCGCCTCCGCAGACACCGCGCGCCCCGCACCCTCCGTCAGCTCCACCTGCACGCGCACGGGTTAAGTGTGATGACCCCTCTAATATCTGCGTTACAACCACTCATAAGAATTAGGCCGTGCGTTACAGCACGGGTTGCTTAGTAATGTTACGAGCTTGAGGTTCGTGACAGTAAAAACTGCCGATTGAATTACCAAAATTTACACTTTTATTACCGAACACCAATTAAAACTTAAAAGACACTAATAATTAACACACTGATTCACTTTATTTCGCTCCGAAGCTTCGCTTGTCTCGCCAAAGTCAATACTGCCCTAATCGCGGCCTGCAGCGGCGGAAAAGGTGTGGTTTTCGGTGGAAAAGGTGTATTTTTAAATACACCTTTTCCACCGAAACATCCAGGATATTCCAGTAAATACGGGCGCCGTGTTACGCGCCTAAGTTGCCGTCTGGTCCCCGACACTAGATGGAGCTAGTGCCAGGTACCAGACGGCAACTTAGGCGCGCAACAGTAAGATATATTTTAATATAAATACTAGGCTAAGTTAACTGTAAGACTGATTAGTTTTGGAAGTAATTATAAGCTGTAACGCTGCTACTTTGTATAAATAAATTATTTTTTAAATAAAGTCGTTGTCGTCAACTTAATTCACGCACTTACTAAAAACAATGACTTTTTCTGCTACCGGCCGGCGCCACGTACGAATGAGGTGAAATATTTGACAGATTTCACAGCGGGGGAAATTAATTTGTTCGGAAAATGAAAGTTAATGTTTCTTACTGAGTCATTAGTTATATTTTATATAACTTAGATTAGCAATGGATAAATCAAACTACGTATATTCCTGGTATCCGTAGGAAAAATTAAAAAAAAATCTTACAAATGTGCAAAAATTTAAAGAAGAAACCACTAAGGCATTTCTTAGTGTACGCATTCTACTATTATTATAAACATTTTAGAAACCGATAAACTTTAGTTAAAATTATATTTTTCATTGAAAATGACATTGTGTTGCAAATCTGTTCACCACACTCCCAAATAGCGACATCCAGTGAGCGTAAAATTATTAGCCCTCATTATTACTAGTGGTCGCAATCGGCAGGAAATCAACTGCATGTACATTAAAACACAAAATTTTATATTAATCGATATTATATACATAAATTATATATATATATATATATATATATATATATATATATATATATATATATATATATATATATATATATATATATCCTATACCTCGGAATCCCGGAAACGGCTCCAACGATTGTGTCCAGGGGGTTTCGGGGGCAATAAATCGATCAACGTGTTAGTGATTATAATAGCTGAAATGGGATATCGGACGTTCCTAAATTCATAGTACCTTGGTTCAAGTCCTTTCATCGGGCCGACTTTTTTTCCTTTTTTTTTAAAGTTCCCTTCTTTTTTTGAGAAAATCTATTATTTCGAGCCCTCTTTTTTAGAATTTTTAAAAATAGGAACATTTAATTAAACTAATTGCACTCATGATTTTTATTCAAATAACTAGGTCAGTTTTTTCTATTATGTCGGTAAGATCAAAAAATATTAGCTATTCATATTTCATCAGTATGTTATTTGTATGTAGATATAATTTCTAAAACACACGATTTAAAAAAACCGAGCGAAGCTCGGTCGTCCGGGTACTATATATATTAGATACTAATAAATAATTTGATCTGATTGATTATTTGATGAGTGATCATTTCACAACTTGATCTCTTTTGCATATTTCCCCGATAAATGTATTTTAAAATCAGTTCGCTAATAGCCATTAAGAGCGCTACGCGTATTCATTATCGTTCTAGTTCTATTTTTAAAACTTTTTTTTCTCTTCATAATAGGGGGGGTGTTAAACATCACGATGCGTTACAGTTACCACATTGTACTTGTGTATTTGTATTTATTAATGCCGTGGTAGCTCAGAGGCTGGTCGCTAATCTTAAATTTAAAATCTTGCGAGTCACACGAGTTCAAACCCCGGCGGCATGCATGTAGCGAAGCACGAGGGTTGCAATATACATATTGCCGAATTCTACATAAAAAATAGTGTGTACCTTTCCAGACTCAATTCTCGCTAAAATTGCTTCGGGAGTGTCATCGCCCGTCGAAGCAAACGGAGTCCGACCAGATAGCATTATGTAAGCGAGAACACCTGTAAGAGAAATTAATATCTTTATTTTTGCTGATTTCAATTTTTAAGTTAACAATGCAACGGAAAGATTATGAGACATATGGTATGTATAAGAAATCATTATTTAAAAATCAATTTCGTATTAAATTATACGTGAAATACAACGTTGCGCTAATATCGTTAAGATTCAGATCCCTAGAGAGATATAAACTTTCATACCTAAACTCCAGATATCACAGGCAGCGTCATAGCCGGCACGTTTTAATACTTCGGGCGCGACAAAGTTGGCTGTATAGCACGGCGTCATGAGAAGTCCATTTTCGGCCCGCAATTGCTTTGCTAAACCGAAGTCCACGAGACGAATGTCCTCAGGTCTCCGTTCTGCGGTAGCAAATAGTATGTTCGATGGTTTGATGTCTCTGTAAGAAAAATTATGTTTGTTATTAAGGCGACACCGCGAAAAAATGCACCTCCTTTCATCGAATAGTATAGGACTATGATATCACTAACGAAAGTGGTATTTTGATATAGGTAAATTCATGTCTTTATCTTCAATTTGATTGTTCAAAAACACGATTCCATAATTTTGACTCCATCATAATTATTTGCGAAAACACATCAAAAAAATCACTATAGTTGAAATTACAACGAAATTACTTAATCTATATGCTTGGGAATCACTCAAAAATATTAATAACATCAATATTCATAATTTACTTGCTCATTATTTTGATTACATATAATCAATAATTTTTAAAAAAATATTTTAAGATTCTGATAATTTCCAAGCGCTTTTAATCGTCATGGGCGCTACGCAATTTTAGGCCTTATGACGGTGTTTTTTCAAGTTTTTAAAGAAATTATGTATTCACTCCGATCAGTACGGCGATAGCCTGGAGCCACTTTTTCGATGTGTCGCCTTAAATAGGCAAGTTAAGAAAGTTACAGACAGATAAGGACATCTTACTTATACGGGTATTTTTTATAAAAAAGTCAGATTATTAATTACCGGAAAAACCAATAATTTTCGTATTCCCACTGCTACTTTTTATATAATATAATTTATTAATAATATATTTTTATGTAATATAGTGTACTAAGAAAGCAGATGATAATTGACTTGACTGTGTCTGTACGAAGTCACACTCGCAGCGAATTTCACAATCACCCTTATAAGTCGAAATGACTTGAGCGAAGAGGCGGCTGTATGCCATGTGGTTTCCTTCTTCTATTTTTAAAAATGAGGCTTTCTAAACTGACACTTTTGTGCCTAGAAGCGGGTAGTTTTTTGAACAAATAATAATGCAAATGATGAGTTCATGATTTAAACTAAAACAGGCGTCAGTTTGCTGAATATCGTAAACTGTATAATGAAATACGTCAACGCCCATCAAAAATATAATATTATGCTTATATTTTTCATGCGTACTGGATCATATTGCAGACCGAGACATTATATTGCTAATAAACGTCTCCGTATTTAAATTTTGCATCGCGCATAAGTGTGCAATCAACACGTTTTGTTTAATACGCAAGACGCGCGAACACGTACTATGTCCGCCACTGGTCGCGGTCGCTTGACGCGCACGTCAGACGCGCCCACGCAGCACCTCCCGTACGTCTCGTTATTTTTCTTGCTTTTATCGTTACCGTTTGCAGACGCAGGACACGTCGCGCTAGAGTGGCACACGACTAACACTTTCAGTGTTCGGTTTTCAGACATAATAGTACGACAATAGCAATGACTTATATGTAAGTAAACAGGACAGTGAAGGTTTAAACTTGAATCGAGAAGTACCAGTGAGCGACGCGATTAACTGTAAATGTTATAGCTCTGTTAGTTGTGTGGCTCACCTGTGCACGACGGTGTGCCGGTGCAGGTAGTGCACGGCGTGCAGCACGTTGCGCAGCAGCGGCGCCGCCTCGTGCTCGGGCAGGTAGCGGCGCTGCGTGATGTGCTCCAGCAGCTCGCCACCGCGGCACAGCTCCGTCACCGCCAGAATGCGTCCGCCCTCCTCGTACACACCGCGCAGACTGATGATGTGCGGGTGCTGGCTGTACCTGGTGCCACATCAACACGTATTTTTTATAGACCGAAGAGAATAATGAACGTTACCTCACGACGACATGCTCGTCTACAATTTCGACTTGAAAGCATGGAAATTTTATTAAACACTGGGGGAGGGGGGACTGAAAGAATATTCGACGGACGTTCGGTGTTATCTCGACTCGACCTAACACACGCGCCCTGTGGACTGACGAATAGATTCTGGAGCTTTGGTATATATCGTTACAAAATCATTAATGAAAAACTGATAGTAACCCAGATTAAATAAGGCATCCGGACTGGACACTGCGTGACGCGGACTGTGCTGTGAAAGTACACTCTAATTAATATTTAATTTCAGAGTAACTTATTATTATCTGTACGGCATATCTATGTATATGGAATTATTTATTTTTTATTTTTTACTAGCAATGTTCGATATTCATTTGATTAATCGAATGATCAATTAATAGCTTGTTAAATTTTGCAACTCGATTGATTAATTTTAAATGGAAATTTTAAATTTTATTATATGCCAGTTAATCAATATTTCACGATATTAGATAAAGTTGAAAACATTGGCTATATAAATACAATATTTATTCTCATTTGTCAGACTCACTTCAAGAAGAAAAAAAGATTGACGTTTCATTCGACAACAACAATATGCGGTTTTGTTTCTTTGTTTTGTTGTTTGTGGGTGGTTTTAGTTTGGAAATTTTCTTTGAATATGGAGAGATACTACATTGATTACAAAGCGGTGATTAAACACTTGTCAACTATTTCAGCATCGGTGTCTAAAAGACAAGTTTTAAGAACGCTATCACCGTTGCCACTAATCTCACTACTATAATACGCCACCTGTTTCGCCTCTAGACGAGGCATGATAAGAAAGTAGATAGCATTTTTTAAAATAGAATAATGGTAACAAACGAGCACACTACGCCCACCCGATAACAAGTGCATGCTGTGGCCCATAGACATCCACATCCATCCTCGATTAAGAATCAAAACGTAGATGCGTTGTCACACTTGAGAACTACGATGGAATGCCTTGTTTCCAGTAAAAAGGCTCTCCGGATCTCTACTCTCATCATACGAAATATAACAGTATTAAGCTCCTATTTTACGCTGGTATTCAGTGAGAGCCCCGGTCGAGCCGACACATCCGTGCTACAACCATAATATAGCTGCAGCATGGCTCTGCCACGTTTATATATATATATATATATATAATGACTTACAACTATAAACTTAAAACTAGGTCTAAATGTTAGTTAAAAGTAAAGGACTGCATAATTTTTCGTTTGAATTTTTGAGGCTTATCAGCAAAAATATCAACGTCACATGTCTTGCAGAGCTGGTTATATTGCCTCTGTAACCTGTTCATGGTGGCGTGGTGACCCAAAGTAGTTTTACTGCCTTCAACTGAAAAGGGGACGTATCGGCTGACACGCACTAGCTTAAAAGGTACCTTGAAATTTATTGCACTTACAGTCAGGACAGTCTACGGTTCCATTGACGATTTTGTGTAGCAACATGAAATCCAGCAAAAGCCTCCGCTGTTGCAGGGTACTTAATTTAAAATAAGTCAGTCGGTCTTCGTATGAGGGTAGATCCTTTATTTTGTAAGTTTGGTACGAAAGATACCACAAAAAACGCTTCTGGATACGCTCTATGCATTTCACGTAAAGGTCATAAAATGGAGACCAGATTTGACTACAGTATTCGAGGCTGGAACGGACTAAAGACTTGTACAAGGATATTTTTGTAGAGGTCCTCTTAAATTCTTTAGAATTATGCAACACGAACCCCAACATTTGAAGACCCCTTGTGACAATTCCATCAACGTGCTTATGAAACCGCAACTTTTTGTCCAAAATCACACCCGAATCACAATCGAACAGAGTCCACTTCTACCAAAGGATGACCATCAATATTGTACATAGGTGTCGGAACATTTACAAACCTTGAGAATCTTATAATTTTACATTTATCGAAGTTCAAAAATAGTCTGTTCTTAATGCACCACAAAGACATCCGGTCCAAATCCTCTTGCAATAGGAGTGAGTCACTGTGGTCTTTGATTTTCAAGGACAATTTCATGTCATCTGCGTACATAAAGCAGGTCGCGTGTTTAAAAACAGACGCTAGGTCATTTATAAAAATATTGAAAAGGATCGGACCGAGATGGGAACCCTGAGGAATACCAGACGTAGGTAGAAATGGTTCTGAGGAGTAACCATTTACCACAACTCTCGATTTTCTCTGCCTGAGGTATGAAGAGAACCATTCGAGAAGATTGTCAGTGATGCCCAAAATTGAGAGTTTGTGAAGTAAGATGTTATGATCTACAATGTCAAACGCCTTACTGAAGTCTGTGTAGATGGTGTCCACAGACAAGCGGGAACCGAGAGACTTGGAGACATAGTCCACAAACGAAACGAGATTTGTAGCTGTAGAGCGAGATGTGAAAAAGCCCGATTGTTGGGGTGAGATTATTTGTTTTATGTGCCAAGCCAAAACAGGACAAATTAATGATTCAAAAACTTTAGCGAAGACAGACAATATGGATATTGGTCTGTAATTTCTGACGGATCCTGCGTCTCCTGATTTATAAATTGGGACAATACGTGCTTGTTTCCAGACCGAAGGGAAAGTACCCGTTTTTAAAGACATATTGAAAATGGTTGTTAAAGGCAAGGAAAGAATATTAAAAAGATTATGAAAAAAATGTAATACCTCAATAATATTTCAATTTCTTCACGCGGGTCATATTGTAACTTGTCCATAATTTTAACTGCATATTGAATTCAAGATGCTTTATGCTCACAAAGGCGGACGACTGAAAATGAACTTGTTCCGAGTTCACCCATCAATCTGAAAAATAAACAAAATGTTGACTATGTAATACTTAATTTTTTTTCTGTTAATGCTTCTGTCCTTAGTCTTAGCAACATAACAATAAAAAAACTGCGCTTGCAAACCCGCTCGCCAAGCGTGGCAACTATGGCAATGTTGAGTTACGAAGAGGCGGCCCCCAGTCCCCGGCGATCCCGCTATTCCTGGCTACGGTGGCGACCGTGGTAACGACGGGGCAGGGGTGTTAAGAATCTCCAGTGAAGGTTCGGTTACCGCCTAAAACGACTCGACCTAGCAACATATAATGCACGCACTTTGAGGATTGAAGAGAAGATCCTGGAGCTGGAAAAAGAGATAGACAAGTTGCGCTGGAATATTATAGGAATATCCGAGGTCGGAAGAGAGGAGGAGAGCCACTGTCGAAGCGGAAGACTGAATGTGGCAGCATTGTTTCCGGGACACCACAGATTTTGAATGTTGAGAGGTTTTATGGGCAGTTGTACACATCATCGTTGGAGCCACACGCAACTGTGAGTAACGATTGAGAGCATCGATGGTTGTAAACCGGTACTTGAAGTTTCTTAGAAGCTATTTAATTCCGTCCGTCATGGTGGCGCTACTCCGGAGACATGGAGCAGAAGTGCGGTGGTATTGTTCTTCAAGAAAGGCAACAACTACATGGTTAAACTATAGACATCCGGTACTCGCGAACGAAGGGAGTGTGAGGGGGAGGGTTCAGGGGAAGCCCCCCCCACCCTTCCCCCTTTGCGGAAATGTATAGTTTATGAGTAATATTTTTTTTTAAATCATAACCTCACTTTTTTACACAGGAATATTAACAAAAATATACGTCTGCAACGGCTTCGGCGCAGCGGGAAGTGCAGCCCCTTCGCCCTTGCGTAGCAAATCACAGGCACCCATGCTCGACCCCGTAGCTTCGGATTATTGGTCGCCTTCGGCGACCATCCTCAGCCGCTACGGCTCAGGGGCCTACGATTTGCTACAGCGGGCGGGGGCTGCTCTCCCTTTAACGCGCCACTTTACAAAAACACTCTAGGGGTAGGGCAGACAAGACTACGTGAAGTCGAGGCGTTCTAATTCGGTTTTAGAACCGATTCGACTAATCGCATCTGTAAAGTCAGGTTGCCCTAAACTCTGCTACATATAGTGGTAAATGAAATAATGTAATGTGAATTGTTACAATTTTGCTTTCTGAAAAACCTCTTGACTGCTCTCCACTGCGACTCAATTTGTGAGTCCCATCTTCAGCCACAAATGGTCTATCTGGGTCCGAATGATCAACTTTTTTATGACTGCATCTGTGTTTAAAAAGACAAATTGACATATTTGCGTTTCGTTATATGCGATTTTTAATGAAATTTATTATTATCGTAATTAATTCAAAAGGCATTTCCGAAATCCAAAAACAGTGTAAAAGGTTCGAGCTTAACCCTGGCAAGCCTCATAAACTGAAAACATAATTAAAATCAAGTACCGGATATCTATAGCCAACTCGACTACAAACCGATTTCTCTTCTGAACCGCGTCTATGTGCTGTTTTCCAGAGTCATTACGAATTGTCCCGCACGCAGACTCGATTACTTCTAGCCTCTCAAACAAGCCGGTTTCCGAAAAGACTTTAGCACCATAGACCACATGTATACTTTGCAGCAAATTGTACAGAAGACCGAGGAGTACAACCTGCCACTATGTCTTGCGTATGTGGACTATGAGAATGCCTTTGATTCCGTCGAAATTTGGGCTGTGCTGCAGCTTCTTCATCGGTGCCAAGTTGACTATCGGTATATCGAAGTGCTGACGTGTTTGTATAGTAGAGCTACTAGCTAGGCTATCAGAGTAAAAAACCAGAGTACGAAACCTATCCAAATGCAGAAAGGTGTAAGACAGGGTAACTTTATATCCCCGAAACTCTTCACCGCTGCATTGGAAGACGTTTTCAAGCTACTGGACTGGAAAGGATACGGTATTAACATCAATAGCGAGTACATCACTCACCTCCGGTTTGCCGACTATTTAGTCCTCATGGCGCTGGAGAACCTAAACACTATGCTCAATGACTTCAATAATGTCTCCCAACAGATAGGTCTTAAGATGAACATGGACAAAACAAAGATCATATGTAATGTGCATGTCATAACTATGTCGGTAGTTGTTGGGAGCACTAAGCTCGAAGTTGTTGACAAGTATCTTTACCTAGGACAAGTAGTTTAACTAGGTAAGTCCAACTTCGATTGAGAACCTTTAAATTTAAAACTAAAATGGGGATATCCGCATCAGAACCAGAGTGACCGTCATAGCCCAACCGATTAGTAAGCTGAAGTGGTAGTGTGCTGGCCATATAGCTCGAAGAACTGACAACCGGTGGGGAAAAAAGGTTCCAGAATGACAGCCTCGTAACGGTAGGCGCAGTGTAGGGCGACCCACTACTGGATGATGGAGTGACGACCTGGTAAGGCAGTCGATGGATGTAGGTGGCTCAGGACCGTGCTTTGTGACATTCTTTGGGGGAGGTCTATGTTCGGCAGTGGACTTGTGAAGGGCTGTAATGATGATAAAAACTGAACAATTAAAATAACCAATAAGAGTTACAGACGATTTAGAATTTTCACTTTAACGAAAGTTTTAAAGATTTTTATAGTATCGTATAATCGTAATATGAAAACTACACACAAAGTTTAATTACTTTTTCTCATGTAGGAAATATTTTATAATTTTTAACCTTTTATAAAACATTTTAAACCGAAAAAGTCGCATTGAATTCGCAAAATCTCTTAATATAATAATCAATAAAATATTTAACAAACCTGTACTCGTCAAAGAAATTATTCCTATTGATAAAGCCAGACCAAAACTCTTCGGTAGAGGTTTTAGTTTGTGGTGCGTGATTTTGATTTTGGTTGGTTAACGTTTTATTATCATCATTGAGTAGACAAGGCGCGACGAAACTGAAACCCCTTAAACAGAAAATACATATTAGCATTACTAAAATGTTTATCAACTGTTTAAATTTTTGGATTTTAATTGTAGCTGTGTGGTGGCGGCGCAAGAGAATCCTTTACGAGAGGAATCTTATGGCTTCCGATAGATGGTGGTATAATAATCTCGATTACGTCAGCCCTCAGACCAACGAAGAAAGATAGACGGAGTGATGCGCACATTTCAAGTGATGCCGAAAAAACCACAGTTTAAAGACAGTTTAACAGTTGGGAACCGAATGTACTTGTGCAGAGCAACGGAGGGGACCTTGCGGGGCAGGGGACGGCGCGACCACCAGCGCACTCCACTGTGTCTGCTGTAAAATACATGCTGTTGACGCGAGCGTGTTTTATAGTACTTATTTCATTAATTTTAAGTGCCGTAGTAATATCTACAATGGTGCATTACTATTATAGTTATATGAGTTACTCAGTAAAATTAAATTCAAACGATGGCCATGCCTATGTTTCCCTCATTTTTTTTTTGGTAAAATTGTTTATCCAAATGCGAACAAATTACATAATTAAATTTAACAATCGGAAAAAACAGAAAACCTGTATAAAGAGAAAGTGTATAAAGATTAAATGTATTTTCTCTTGTAGTAATCAAAATAATCTTGTTCAATAAATGTTTTCAACTTATAAGTATGTATATAATGATTTCTTATATTTACGCGAACACTACCCATTGATTAAAACTAATTTTACGGATTTTATCGCGTTTAATTTTAAATGTTTTTTAATTCCCGACGTTTCGGGTGCTTTACTCGTAACCCGAAACGTTTAAAATTAAACGCGATAAAATCCGTAAAAGTAGTTTTAATCAATATGTACATAATGTGTTAATAAATGGCTAATGAGTATTATAATATCCAAAGTTATTTTCCCATTTTCGTGACAATCCTTAGCATACATGGCAAACGGAGGAAGCATCGCCTGACATCAAAGGCGTTTAAACTGTGCCGAAACCATGCTTAATTTTTTGACACATACATAAGCCACACAACTTTCTTCTTTCTTTCTTTCTTTGTCATCCAGTGAAAGTTCACCAATGGACGCAACTAAAACCATGTTGTTGGTTGCGAATTATCACAGAATAAATAATAGTACTACGTACAGAAGTTTCACTCTTTTGATGTTGCCGACGTTTAATAGCCTACATAATTATTATTAATAAGATAAATTGCGCATGCAAGCTAAATAAACCTTTATTGCTGCGCGCGAGTGTCCGTGTTACTTTGCATCTTTTCCCATTCCTACATCACGGCTGTTTTACGTCGTTACTTAGGGCTGTCAAAAATATATTAAAACACATGCAAGTAGTTACTTATTAAGCTTATAATATGTATTAATATATGCTCATTTATCTTCTATTTATGCACACTTCTATTTACGGATCTCCTTCACCAAGGCATAGAATAAATAATATGTAGTTCTACTCGTACATTAGTACCAAATCACTGTTAAGCGATGAGGCCACCTAATTGTACATAAATTTATATGTTGTGTGCAATAAAGAGTATAAATAAATAAATAAATAAAACGTTGCGAAATCGTAAGTAAAATAGGTATGGTACCTATTCTGAGTGATCAAATGAACATATTTTTGCTACTATGCGAATTCTGTGCCTAACACATGCAACGTGCAAGGTCACTCGTCGTGAATCGCGATTTAATAAATCGAACGGAAGAAATAGGTAGGTAGTGTAAACAACAAATGAACCTGAAATACGATTCCTAAATGAAATGTGATTGTATTCTAATTAGTTAAAAATCTTGTAAACAAAGTTTTAATTTTAGTGCTTTGTGATAACTTAAAATATTTCAATTACAAAATTACCTGCTTCGATTTACCTACGTAAATTTCGTAAGTTACCTACGTAAATTTAACAAAGTTTTGTAATAAAGTACTTAGGTATTACTTCTCTATTTAAATTATTACGTAATTATTTTTTGCTATAAGTATTTAGTTAACAAAAAAATGAAATAAATGTACTTTTCATTAACTTAAAACTTTAACGGTAACTTAAAAAAATTATATATCTATATCCTTTTGTTTGCCATTATAATTTATCAAATAGATAGGTTATATACACATATTATTATTAAATCACATTAAAATTTTTTGAACTATTTTATCCTACAATTAAATACTAAACACTAAATGAAAATTACAACAAGTGTTTACAAAAAACTATTTACGTAAACAGCGTTAAAAATACATCAATTGCCTAGAACGCGCTAGCCCCGACTGCGTATTACACCCTGGGTGAATCGTGATTTTAGGTAATTATTTCACGCAGGTAGCAAGAGTGACAGAGGCCTGGCGTCGTCTTACAATAAGTTGGGCAAGGTCTTGGTTTTGCTTCAATTAAAATGTACAAGGTAATGTAAAAGTTATGCCTTGCGACGTCCGGCATTGCAATGTGAACTAGATGAGACCATTTTTTTATTTTAAAAAAAACGTAACGATTAAAACAAATCCTTTCTACAGAGCTTGATGCCCATATTCAGCTGTGAACTTTCGTGGACCGATAAAGAAGAAGGTTTTAAATAGAACCCTACGATAACACAGCTAAACCTAGATATTTAAAAAAATTATATACGCATATGGGCGTGTGGTTGCAGTGTAAGATTATCCACTACCGCGTATTGTTTCGTGAAGAAGCGATAGAGGTACACACAACAGATGATAGGCAGCAGCGTCTTGCTTAAAATAACTAAAAAGTAAATAAAAAAAATTGGTTGGCAAGCGTGGCAACTATGGCAACTATTCCCCTATAAGGCAATCTATGTGTGTGTGTGTGTGTGTGTGTGTGTGTGTGTGTGTGTGTGTGTGTGTGTGTGTGTGCGTGCGTGCGTGCGTGTTTACGTGCGTGCGTGCGTGCGTGCGTGCGTGCGTGCGTGCGTGCGTGTGTGTGTGTGTGTGTGTGTGTGTGTGTGTGTGTGTGTGTGTGTGTGTGTGTGTGTGTGTGTGTGTGTGTGTGTGTGTGTGTGTGTGTGTGTGTGTGTGTGTGTGTGTGTGTGTGTGTGTGTATGGTGTGTGTGTATGGTGTGTGTGTATGGTGTGTGTGTATGGTGTGTGTGTATGGTGTGTGTGTATGGTGTGTGTGTATGGTGTGTGTGTATGGTGTGTATGTATGGAGTGTGCGTGTGTGTATGCGTGCGTGTGTATGCGTGTGTGTGTATGTGTGTGTGCGCGCGTGCCAACCTTTCATAACTAAATTTTGAACGTCTTATTTGATTGAGATGCGGTTTGCAGCGTTCTAAAGATCTCAATGTGAAATAGATTTGGTGATAATATGAACTGACTCGGACGAGAAGATTTTGAGAAATCTCCAAAATAAAAATTTTGAATAAGTGTTTCAATCGATTTCAAAAACTATTCAGCTCTTAACCTCAAAAAATTACGTCGAATACCGTTTGGAAAATAAAAGTCGGTTCATTCGTTCGTGAGATATCGAAGGAAAAATATTTTTTTTTTAACATAACTTCGAGATTTCGCAACCGAGCAAGTTTGAGCTTCTTACATTATTTGTAGAACGTCATAATTTGGTGAAATTTGGAGCGCTTTGCATTTGTAATTAGCGGGAAGTTCCAGGGATGGCCTGCAGGGTCAACCAATTTTCTTTGACTCAAATACAGACACTATGTTATGGTTGTAGCTCAATGGGTCGGCTCGGCTAGGGTAGGACCACGCTCTCATAGAATACCAGGTAAATGCTGTTGTGTTTTGTATGGTGAGTGTAGAGAACCGGAGACCTTTTTTACTGTAAACGAGGCATTCTATCTTAGTCCTCAGCTGTGACAACGCATCTGCATTGTGATTCTTAAACGAGGATAAATGTAGATGTCTATGGGTCACAGCAACCACTTAACATCAGGTGTACTTTGTGCTCGTTTGTCAACCTTATTCTATAAAAAAAAAGTATATCGACTACCCCATATCGTCTCGTAGGTGTCGTAGGAGGCGACAGAGGGAAACAAAACAGGAGATGGGCAGCAGCATCTTCCCAATAACACTTAGTGCCAGGGGTGGCGAACCTTTTTGTATCAACGTGCCATTTTTCTAAAGAAATGTTTTATGAGGTCATAAAAGTGCCGCAAAATAATTTTGACTTCGTGATTATTGGGAAAATAGTAATACTAAATACTATCAACACATAACTCTTTTACTAAAAAAAAAAAAATAAAGAGTTTGAGTTGAGACATTTATTATTTATTATATTGCAAAATGTTTCAGTTATACGCGTAATTCAAATTAAAGTAACATTAGTGAGTATCCTGCTCCTGTTGCTGCAGATTATACGACAAAAAACTAATTTTAGAGTTGTTAAATCGTAAATGTTACACAAATAAACTTTTAAATACAGTTGAGTCAACGAAATTGACTATTATGCTCTGCGTAAACGAACTATGCAACCTTGGGGGAGACGTGGACTTGTGAAGGACTGTAATGATGATGACGATGAAACGAACTAAGCGTCATTAGCAATAGTAGTTCACGATGTAACTACAACAACAAAACGAGCGCACACTCCGTAGCGTAGGATCACTCGTATTCGTACGTAGTATCGTATAATCCCGGGTCGGGCCAACAGAATCAATTATTAAGTTTTTCTGTCAAGAAATTCTCAGTAGCTGCCCGCAGTCAGGAAGTTGACGGTGTCTCACCCCCGTGCCTCGGAAAGCACGTAAAGCCGTTGGTCCTGCGCCTGATCTCTCTCCGGTCGTGTCAGTGTAATACCGTCCCATCGGATTATGAGAATGAGGGAATAGAGAATGCACCTGTGCTTGCGCATACACTTGGACACTATAATCTTGTCCTGCGCCGATGGTTAGCCTCCGTTGAGGCAGGCCGCCATGGTCGGAATTCGGTCTGGAGGACATTATTATTATTATTATTACTTCAAAGTGAACTTTATGATCGGTGGCGTGCTCAAAATATTGTGTCGCGTGCCATCGATGGCACGCGTGTCATTGGTTCGCCATCCCAGACCCAGTGTATATAACTGCGGTTGCCAAATTGTCTGCCATGCATAGCTACTATGACAAACATCCTTTCTATGAGTCATATATTTATTGATAAATATAAATAAATACATTTTGTTATTATAACATGGTTTGTTAAAATAGATAAATTAATCACCTGTTGGGACATCTTTTTAAATAAATATATATACCTGTGCCAGTAAGTCCCGCTATTCCGTACTTTAAAAAACATCAAACCTAAGTTATATATAAAATTTTTAAAAAAGTCTTATAATAACAAAACTTAATAGTAACAAAAACAGTTTGTGTGCGTGTGCGTATGTGTGTTGTTTTTATGATAATATATATATACAGTTTAAAATTCGATTCTACATAATATATATAGAGAGAAAATTTTTTGAAGGTGAAAAGACGTCAAGATTGAAATCATAAAAGTTGTATAGTGCAAATATCTTAAACCTTGAAATGAAAATAGACTTAATGTATAGAAACGGCATGCAAGCTTGATCCTTTTATGAACGAACAGTTATTGTAAGTATGTATACCACACTACGTGTATCGTTGTAAGGTAGTAAAGTATAAAGTACTGTATGTTGTGTATCACTATCTATATCGTGTATCTTCCCCTTATATTAATTGTTTGCACGACAAACTGGTCATTAAGATCACTCTCATAATAGATAACCTTAATCTAATCGCTGACAATATCGATTACAGCGAAAAACTTTATAATGAAAATTTCGTTTGTGCAAATAAAATTTCTATGTGGAATAAAACTAAATTTACGGATTTTATCGCGTTTATTTCACTACTTTTACTTATTTTGTAATTCCCGACGTTTCGGGTGCTTTACAGCAACCATGGTCACGGGGGGGACTGAGATGTTTGACGTCCCAATGTCATAGTTAGTCCGGCTACCTTCAGTTTTTGAATATTAATTTTTGGTCCGATTTACGCAATTTGGTGTTGTTTGGTTTTGCTCTTTTCTTTTTGTTTTTTTTTTCTTCTTTTTTTTTTATTTGGTTTATTGTGGGGTTTAAAAGGTGGAATTGCGTGGTTTGTGTGTTTTCACGCGTTTTGTTTTTTTCTCCCTGTTGTGGTATACATTGACGGATGGTAAAACCGGGACCCGAAGCTAGCTCCGAAGCCTACGTCACAGTGACCGAGTGTAGCCGGCCACAGTCGAGCGTGTACCTGCTGTACTACCATATGTCAGAGGAGTCACAGACAAGGTTGGCTACATCTTGAAGCGAGTTTCTATTAAAACATACTACAAGCCGCCGAAGAAGATTAGTCTATTTTTACCATCCATCAAGTGTAATATCCCTCTACAAGATGCAGGAGTGTACAAGTTACATTGTGAATGTGGTCTCTCTTACATAGGTCAAACAAAAAGATCCATCCATAAAAACCCGCGTGAAAGAACATATAGCTGACGTGAAGCACCGACGCTCCGGGAAGTCTGCAGTCTGCGAACATGTTCAAGATCGTCCCCACCATTACATTCGTTTTGATAAACCACAAATTCTCGCAAAAGAACACCGATTCCTACCAAGGATGATACGCGAGGCTATTGAAATTAAAAAACATCCAAATTTCAATAGAGAAGATGGATGGGTGGTGCCACCTGCTTGGGACCCTATAATTAACAAAATTAAACCCAAACCTAAGCATACCACTGCAAGACTTCATGATACTATAAGCTCGTTTTGCGTAAATCGGACCAAAAATTAATATTCAAAAACTGAAGGTAGCCGGACTAACTATGACATTGGGACGTCAAACATCTCAGTCCCCCCCGTGACCATGGTTGCTGTAAAGCACCCGAAACGTCGGGAATTAAAAATAAGTAAAAGTAGTGAAATAAACGCGATAAAATCCGTAAATTTAATTTTATTCAATGTGTAGTGTTCGCGTAAATTTAAGAAATCATTTCTATGTGGAAATTAATTATAAGTATCCTAATTAGCAAATGAATTGTAAATATATATTTTCACTTGCATATTGTATTATAATAAGAATGGAGAATCATGTAGGAATAAGTTAATTATTAATAATCAGGTAAAAAGTCGAAAAAGTTAGTTACAGCCAATATATATCCCACAGCTGGGCACAGGTCTCATTACTGAGTGGGTTTTAGAAAAGTGTTCGCCGCGCTGCCCTAATACGTGTTGGCGAACTTCACATGTCTTCGAAATATTTTTTACTTATTTCTTAGACATCCAGGTTTCCTCAGGATGTTTTCCTTCACAGCCGAGCATGTGGTAAATGAGCACGAAATTTACAGCGAGCGCTTACCATCCTTGCTACCACGGCACTAAATGATCAAGTAACTTATTATCAAAAACAAAACATGTTGACAATACATGTTTCTTAGAATGCACTTTAAGCGGCTACTTGATTCGTTTTTCCGAGCGTCGTTTTCATTACATTGTATAATACCACCAAACGACAAGGCGTTTTAGTCACCGGAGGTCACATAGGAACGGACAATTGTACATGCATATATTATGTATGTATACATACAAACAAACACACACTTATTTGAAACACAATTAACTCCTTTTGAGGGATTCGTTTTGAGAGAAAGTTTTTAATAAGCCAAATAAAACACAATCAACTAATGGCCAGAAATGTTAACAGAGTCAAGATATAGGAGAAGCTGTCCTGTATTTCAACTAAAAATTAAAACCCCTTGAAATCAAAAAAGAAAATGTATGCAATAAATTCTAACTTAATTGGGTTTTCGGTTTCATTAACTGAACATTTTCAATAGCAGCGCTAATGTTGTTTCTAATGGTTATATTCTATGTGCGTAATGTTTCTCTGATCGAGACAATTTATTCACTGGCAATCCATTTCTAGTAGCATGCTTCTACCAATCCCGCACAAAACATTTAGTTGTATGGCTTACAATTAATTGTTATGGATCTGGATATTTGTCCTTGTGAAATTTATGTATGTAAACTTCCGTGCTACAGGAGAAAAAAGATCCTTTATAAAAATAATCAGCTATCATATCCTACGTCCGTATACAAACAATTTGGATTACATGAATAAAAATACCTTCGTCTATTTTAATTAATAATATAACATCATATTATGTATATGATGAAATTATCCTTTTCTTATTCCTCGGAGTAAGAAAACATCTTATTTACTGTAATCTGCTTTTAAGTAAATATGAAACAAACATGCGGGTTATATAAGACTTCATAGTTCGTATACGAAATTCGATTTCTGTACCACACAGTTTAATGTGTGCTATCCTATTCTACGCTGTGCTATGTAATGTGCTGTGCTTCCATATACACTAAGTCACTAAGGTAAAAAACTGTTTTGGATAAACCTTATTTAAAAGGTATCATAAAACAGCACGAAGTCTAAACGGCTATATAACTAAACTTTTGTACAATTAGTCATACAGACGAGACTTTCAGTATCATGGTCATCATGCATGTTTTAATAGGATTATGAATTTTCTTGATTGATCCATAATTCAAATTTTGCCCTTTCAGTGACCGTCATTTTAAAAAATTGTCATACTGAAAATTTCATAAAATGACAATCACTGAAATACGAGCAATATTAAACAATTTATAAAAGCATTTCAGGTAAAACATGGAATATCTCATAGTGATAATTATATACTAATTAAAAAAGTCAATAAAGTCACAAAAATTTGCCTCCAAATGAAGATAGAAGATGTCGTTATAAACGTTTTAATACCAATTTTCGGGATATTTGCCAAAAATCTTAATTTTCACGATAACTAGAAATTTTAAGACATTATTAACCGCGCGCAGAAAGATATCTATATTAGCTATAGGACGTCGAAATATTACTTGGGTATATTCAAGTGGCAATGTTACCTGAACAACTCATGTGCATTAGCCGAAGCTGGTACACCAGGCGAGTCACGCGGAGTTCGACAAGTAAACTCCGAGTCGAAATAAAATGCGTCGTCTGCTCTCGAAACGGCTGGTCTAAATGGAGGCACCACCTACGACAAAGAATTTTGGGGTATTGTATTTCATTGTACACACAGCGTTTGGAAATTGCGACAAATCTTCTTAATGATTTCTTAAATTTACGCGAACACTACACATTGAATAAAACTATTAGGTATTTACGGATTTTATCGCGTTTAATTACTACTTTAACTTATTTTAAAGGTCGGGATAATAAAAAATAAGTTAAAGTAGTAATTAAACGCGATAAAATCCGTAAATAATAGTTTTATACAAATGTTCTTGTCTGATACTCCTCAAAACCTTAAGACGAAAGTGTGCAAAAAGTGCTTGTAGTCAATGATAACTTACTAAACAGAAACATGGTCGTTCACTGCAAAGGATAAGGCTATGCTCAGAATTTTTCTGCGGAACCGACCGTAACGAAGACAGTCGCAGAAGAACCAAAGTAAACATAGCCCGGCGGATCAGCAAGGTGAAGTGGCAATGGGTCCGCCATATTATCAAGTGGTAGAGCCACGCTACAGCTATAATATAGTTGTAGCACGAATGGGTTAGCTGGACTGGGCAAGGATAACGCTCTAGGGTGTGTACCGTATGATGAGTGTAGAGAACCAGAGACCCTTTTTACTTCAAACCAGGTATTCCATCTTAATCCTCAAGGCTGACAATGCATCTACATTTTGATTCTTAACCGACCTATGTTAGAAAAAAAGTTAAAATTATGAAATAATTTTTATTTCTCAATATACTAACTACTCCACAGCCCTCAAAAGTGATCTATATCCATCAGTTGTACATACATAAGCTGTGACCTTAACACGCGTTTGCTATATTACGCAGCAGTAAGCTTAAAGCTACCTTATTATTATTATATATTATATATTATATAATAATACTTATATTTCACTAACTTAGACACTCCTTATCTTCGTTTTAAACACACAAACACAACAAACGAGAACAAGGCCCTTGGTTAAAACAGAAATTGAATACCTCAACTGTGTAAAAAAGTTTACTAAAAAATGTTTAATACCCTATATCACTTACTTCCACAGCTAAGATGAATTTAACCACCACACCATATGTACCATACCATACCCATACCCATATTATGTTCAAATTCATCAGACCGTTAAGACAAGACTCCACTCTCTACCCAGCACTAAAGTGAATATTGCACAACATGCTTTTGGCAGTATAATTATTTACTTCTCAGACAAAGGGAGCGTAGTTTTCAAAATGTCATTAGTTTAAACTTCTGAATTTCTGAACTTTTAAACTTCTGAAAATGTTATTCAATTATATTTCTTATTAATTACTTGCTGTTCGATACACAAAATTTTTAGCCGACTTCAGAAAAGAAGGAGGTTTTCTATTCGACAATGTTCTTTTTGTATGTTACGTGATATTATTTTAATAGTTGGATTTGAAGACCGAGTACGAAAATGAAATTGTAGATGCAGTTATTTAATTTTTCATATTATTAATGATACTTACTTAGTACATTCATGTTTTGTCAAATTGCAATATTATGTCAAATTAAATGGAGAAAAGAAATGCTAATTTAAATATTACGAATAAATCCTAATAAACCAACCTCTTTTTTAAGCAAAGCATCCCAGTCAATACTTGCAAAAAACTCATGGTTCTTGATATCTTCAATGCCGTTAGGACCAGCACCCAATCTGTAAAACAAGGTTATAATTATAGTATTTAGTTTTTACTAGCCGGTGGTATCCGGAGCGTTGCTATCGCAGAAGAAATAATTGTGGAAATATTGTTTTAAATTTCGAAGTTATATTTTTTAATTAGGAATGAAAATACATTTATCGAAATTGAATGATATATGACTTTCAAATAAATTCTTCAATACGATGCTAAGTTAATTGTACTATGCTTATATCTTTCGCGCAAGTGCAAGCAATAAATTGATAAAGTTTTACCTCAATCTAATAAACGGTACAACAGCTCATAAAATACGAACAAACAAACATTATTTTTTATATATTAGGGGCGTCCATTAATTATGTGAGGTGTTTAAGAGGGGAGGGGGTCGAAACTTATCTCACCCAATCTCACGTGGGGGAGAGGAGTGTTACGACAAATATGGCTAAATTCTTCACAATACTATATATCGCGGTTATGCGAACTCAACATATTATATTAAAATAATTAAACAAATTATGGTTTTTTTTTTAAATAAAGTCGACGCAACCAAGTACAGATTAACGTATTCACGCTAAAAACAATCACCCCCCCCCCAAATCTCACATGAGATTACCCCCACAAATCTCACATGAGATTTGGGGGGGGTGAGGGGGTCGAGTCATATCTCACGACATCTCATCAGCGGGAGAGGGAGGGTAGAAAAATCATCTCACGTAATTAATGGAACTACCCTTAGGAGATTTTTAATACCTACGTATTTTTTATTAAATAAAGTTTAACTTAAACAAGAGAAAGCCATGCCTGTTCTGCGGGTTCCGTTTAAACAAAGCACGGAGTAACGACTGAGCTTCTTCGCTTAGATTTGACGGCATACCAAGTTTGGCCTTTAAAATCTGCGTCATAGTTTCGTGTCTGGTAGATCCATGAAATGGTAAATTTCCTGTGAGCATCTCAAACTGAAAATATATCAAATCGTGTATATATAGATACTATTATCTTATCTGCCTGCTGGCATTATTATCTGAGAAGCATGGATTGAATGTTTATTTTGAGTGCCTACTGTGAGTAATTTTACTGGTATATATTATGCTATAGCTGTCGTGTAGTAGAGTGAAAAAGAATGTGAGATCGTACAAATTAATAATATTTTAACTCCAGGTCTTTGGTCATTTAATGATACCTGTTTTGATAAAAGGATCAGCAGAATAACTTCTAATTATATTACTGCAGTATAACGCTTAGTTGAAAACTTTTTGTTCCTAAAACCAATATTGTAATAATTGTTGTAATTGCAAGTAGATGACCGCTTTTAATACGGCTCTTCAGTTCAACTGCATGTTTTTGTATGCATGGTACGCGATATGTTCGTCAATTGTAAACCTATTTTGATGATTCTTTTTATCAAATAGCTTATACCTCTCCATTGACTTATGTCCATTTGGGGGGAAAATCCAATAGGTAGTTGTAGTAGTTATAGTAGTAGTAACCATATCCATATCAAGCGCCATCTACGCTAGATATGTAAAGTTACAGTCTATATGCGTCCCACTGCTGGGTACAGGCCTCCCCTCATTTCTGAGAGGGTTTTAGGGAAAGGAATTGTCCGCCGCGCTGCCCCAATACGTGTTAGCGAACTTCAAATGTCTTCGAAATATTTTTTTTTCTTATTCCTCAGACATGCAGGTTTCCTCACGATGTTTTCCTTCACCGCCGAGCACGTGGCAAATCAGCACTTAAAATTGCAATTAACAATTTCATTAGTGCCGGCGGGGATCGAACCCGGATTACTTGCGTTCTCTTATATTTACATCGAGGGTTAACCATCTGAGCTACCGCGGCGCTAGATACGGTTACTTATTAATTGGTCTGAGTGGCTATGGTACAAGTATATTATTAGCAAAAAATACAAGCTAGAGCTAGAGAATAGCTTCAATCCTGACCAGTGTAAAGCTTATGCGATATAGGTAATCGAAGAAAAGATCAAGCACACAGTGTCGGTCCTAGGGGGTGCGAGCGGTGCGACCGCACCCGGCGCCGTCAACGGGGGGCGCCGAAATCAACCGAAACGCAACTACCGAGCACCGGTCACCAATTCTCTCACTCTTATCTCTAACATTCCGTTTTATTGACGTTAAATAGGAAGTCAAGGCATGAGTATTTTGTTTCTTGCAAGCTAGTAAGTGACTCTTCGGAAAAAGGACTTACTGGCCTCTTTTTTGATGCAATTGTACAAGTGTGACTTAGACATGAATGATTGTTGAAGTCAGGGGTACAATAATGGTACAAGGCAGGAAAATTAAACAGAATTTGACTCAATATTCTCAGGTATTTTTAAACCATGTGGTTGAAGTTATTAGAACTTAATTTGCTCATATTCGCGTAATAAAATAAAATGATGTATCCTACCCAGTCTAAAAGAGCAACTCCCAACCCCCTAAATCGTATGCACTATCCCCGTAGCCACCACTCCCAGTACCACCACACTAGGAACGACACACCACTCTCGATAATACTGTTGTGCCTGTCGCCTGTGCCTAACGCCCTTTGATCTTTATTTAGACCAAGAGGCGAGGACTAGTTTGTATAGGATTAACGACCAGGGCAGTCTGCGCTTGCTTTCCTAAAAATTGAGATCCATGCCCGATCCAATTAAGAAAATACGGGTCTTATGTATGATCTCAGATATCCTGCGTCCACTATACACTTTTAATAAGTATATAGTGGGACTACCCTCCAGAGAAGACTTGCCGAATGACCAGGTTATCTGTGAGATCGTACGTAGGCTTTGGAATTTATTGTGGATACCCCAAATTCAAACTTAGTATGAATTAGGGTAGATTCACCTCTGTCTTCCAGGCAGAAATTTTCGTCATACTTCAGTGTGCGGAAATCAATAACACTACGTCAATCATATAATCTATATAAACTCTGATAGTCAAACAGCACTGCTAGCGCTGTTTGACTATCTTCAAATAGCTTCGAGTTGTAGCACTGAGTGAACTCGAAGCTATTTTGAGACTGCGTGAACCGTCTAAACGCCTTGGGATGTAACAACAGGGTCGTTTTAAGATGGGTTACGTGCCACGCGGGTATAGTAGGCAATAAACTTGCCGATGAGCTTGTATGGGAGGGAGTGATTTATGATTTATGATGATAAAGAGAAACTCTTTATCACAATAAATCACTGAAGATCTGGTCTGATACACGAGGCTTAAAACATTTTAAAACCTTAATTCGGGCTTTTGATCGTAAATGCGCTTCAGAAGCCCTGGGATTATGTAAAAATAAACTGCGCATTCTGGTAAGTGCCCTGACTGTTGTCTTAAAAAGCACATGGCTATCCTGGGACTAAGCAATTCAATGATGTGGCGGTTTTGTTCCTTAATGGAAGAAACGCCTCTGCACATCCTGACCGATTGTGGACTCTTAATGCGCAAATGTTACACATCTGGGAAACTATCTACTTCGCGCAGAATAAGTGAAATTGCTAAGCAACTCTCATTCATTGAAGACATAGTAACATAAAACATAGTGACATATAGACATACGAAGACATCAGTGAACTATAGCCATAACAGCGATCACAATAGATCTTTGAGGTCGTAGTGATAGTCTTTCTAGACTTGAATAGCTGCTCGCACAAAAAAAAACCTATGCAGTCTGAATCTTTGGATTTACCAAAGGTGTCGTATTGTTTGAAAATTTTGTCAGAATTTTGAAACAGTACCGAGCATTTTCATCTGCTCTAATAACAGATAGATCCAATTTTTAAGCCAGCTCGATCCCGAAGAAAGAAAATAATATTTGTGTTCGAAGCCGCAGATGAGACACCAACTGATCCTAAATAATTGTTTAAAATGAACGTTTTTTAACTTGTGATTGATACAATTAATAGTGCATTGGTTACTTGACTTAAACTATCAAAATTCTACGATAAAATAAAAATAATTCCTGAAAGTTCAAAGAGCCTGTGTTGATTTGCAAATCAGTTGAACAGATGGGAACAATGTGATTTGTCTAGTTGTAAATTGCTTCAGGAACTTATGAGCTTAAACCGAACACTATTTAAAGATCTTCAATCAGCAGAGCCACATAAAGTTGTCAGACTTATTAAAAACAATGATTGGCAGGATATTTTTCCCGAATGTGTTGACTGCACTTCGTATCTTGCTGACTATACCTGTACTATAACTGTCGCTAAACGGAAACGAAGTTTTACTACATTAAAACATTTAAAAATTGATCTATGTTTCTACTATGTGTCAGAAGAAACTGTCATATCTTGGAATCTATTCCAAAGAAAATTCTATTTCCTAGAAGTTAAATTTAAAAAAAATTTGCAAGCGCATAAGCCAGAAAGCTGGCCATCTAGGCTTTACATTGAGTTTTGTTGGTAGTTCTTTTATCTTTTTAACACTGTCCGCAGAACAGCAGTTTAAAATAAAAGTTGTCACACAAGACGTATTAACTCTTTTATGAGAAATAATCTGTACAACTAGTGTCCGCAGCAAGGCAAACATAGTGGCGTTGTCGAGCGCAACAAGGTAGTGCGAGCGGAATGGGCAACATTTCTTTAATGCGAATAAACAGAACTGCTATGGCAAGAGCGACAGACACAACTGTGCTTACCCCGCATATACACCTGTATATATATATATATGTATATATATATATATATATATATATATATATATATATATATATACATATATACATATTTATATTTATTTATTTGATAGGTCTAATACTATTTAAAATAAGGAAAAAGCAACTGCATAGTATAGGAATATAAGGAGAATAGAAAAGAAGAAAAAAAATTGAAATGGAGTAGAATAGTTTAGAGGGGCGCCACTACGAGATCTCGCACCACCTAAAAATTTTGCTAGGGCCACCACCGCAAGCACTTCATTGCATTTCGGAGAGTGTGCGCAAGATTTACACGATTGAATTCGTCCCCCCTCTTTCCACCATCGTCCCATAACCATACCATAACCCGACAATCGTCTTCATCGGATCTACGTTAAATTATTAGATCGTAAGTTTTGAATTGCTTTTTCTTTCTTAGTACAGCAATGGAATGAAGTAATTACTTACATCTGTCTATCCAACCTATTAAAACGTTGATGTCTTCAAGATAACAGTAATAAGGCTTTTGTTGCGCTAAGTTGTGTGCAATTTACCATCTACAGTTCACACCACCAGGGATTATAGTCAAGTACTAACTTATAATAATAAGTAAAAAAAAAACAACACGATCACAAAATATCCAGTACCTAAGATTAAGAAAGGTGCGTAAATGTTCTTCCCCGGCATTTTAAGATAAAACACAAATGTGATTACAATCTCATAATTAAACAACGTGAAATGCACATACGGATTGGTTGCTAAAATACATAGTGATCTTTTGAAGACATCCATGCCCGATTTTATTGTGTAATAAAGAAACAGCATAAACATGTGTCACGGTCGGGCATACCGTTCTCATTCTAAAACGGGTTACCACACAAGTTCTCGGCACATTTTATTAAATTAACTCACGATGTTTTACTAGTTCTTACCGTATCAGCAGTAATAGGGCTATCATGAGTCTTGAATGTAAAATGTTCTTAGTGAAAAAGAAGGTTAAGCCTGCTAAGGAAGATTTAATCTAATTACACCTTAATACTTGAGTATTCAGCCTAAATACGTCTCACTGCTGGGCACAGGCCTCCCCTCATGTCTGAGAGGGTTTTAGGGCAAGGAAATGTTCACCGCGCTGCCCCAATACGTGTTGGCGAACTTCACATGTCTTCGAAATATTTTTTTGCTTATTCTTCAGACATGCAGGTTTCCTCACGATGTTTTCCTTCACCGCCGAGCACGTGGCAAATCAGCACTTAAAATTGCAAATAACAATTTCATTGGTTGCGGCGGGGATCGAACCCGGGTTACTCGCGTTCTGCTATATTTACAGCGAGCGTTAACCATCTGAGCTACCACGGCTCTTAAAAATTCAAAAATTACGGCTATCTAGGCTGTAACTAACTTGAGTATTCAATATTTTTCTCTATTACTACCAGCCGATGTTATCCATAAATATTCAGTTACACAATAAATATTTTAAAGCTCACCCTATAACATCTAGATTGAATGGGATATCTAAGGTTGTGGAAAAGCACTTAATTGAGAAAAGCCTACGACGGTATTTTTAAAAACCGTCAGTTTTTGGATCTTCGAGCTTTATTGCTGACCTACTACCATTTCAGCTTACTTATATTTGTAATGTAGGTAGAATAATAATTTATGCAACAGTCACCGCAGTCTCGCATTAAAGGCTTAAGAAGTTAGTAGTGTTTGCTTCGTATTTTAATAGGCCCAGATTCGACAATATTATGTTAGGTTTCTGCGCACAACTGACAGGTGTACTTTAGTTTCATGCTTAGTGGAGTTGTAAATAATTAACCGACTTCAAAAAAGGAGATGATTTTCGATTTGACTGTGTTCTTTTTTGGTATGTATGTTGCGATATCTCGTTTTACTACTTATTATAAGACAGTGTTTGAACACAATTCCACCGAGTGGTAAGTGGTCATTGAATTGTAGATGATAAATTGCATATAACTTAGTGCAACAAGTCAGCTCTGTGAACTTGGAACCCAAACTAAAAAAAAAGTCCATTTACTCTTAGCTTGAAGGCACCTATATTGTAATCGGAAAATCTCACCAGATGAGACCAATTGTGAAGAAGGCCTAGATATTTCTTCGCATAGTTTTAGCATAGCTCAAGTTGTGATTGGACGAAAAGACAGGCATTGGCAAATTATTCCACTCTTTTGCTGTACGCATTACGAAAGATTAAATAAACGTTTTGTGTGAATGCGTAGAATATCGACAGCAAAGGAATGAAGGACGCCTACCGTCTGTTGTCCGAAGGTGAAATGAGGAAGAGGAATTAAGGAATGTAATTCCTGCGCACATTGGCTGCTTATTGAACCTGTGCTGTGTGCCATGTAAAATTGGTTCCAACTAAATCAAGGTCACCATCAACCCTCTTAGCACGACTCTCTGCTAAATGCATCACTGTTAAGTGGCATTTTGCAGCACTAGTCTACATAACTTGACAGCAGTCCATGCTCGATCCGACTTGCGCTTGATTGGGTCAGTCGCTGCCCCAGTATAAAGTAAATAATACCCTTGTTAGGACATCTAGTTTCCTTGCGGTAGTTTAGGCCTTGGACTCAATGAACCGCTTAAAGTTGAGCTTTGGAAAAATATCAACCCCTAACAACTGAAGGTCAAATCTCACATCCCGGAAAGTAGGAGAGTGGTCTACTTTTTTGCAGTGAAGTGATACACTTGTAGTTTGGAGGCGTTCACACAAGATTAGCAACGCCACATTCAGTGACTTCCTGCAATGAGAGATTGAGAGGCGCTAACCATCTCTATTGGACTGGATTTGATTCGCACTGGCCTGAGCTTTCGGCTGGTAACTACTCACAGCAGGATGAGAGTTGCAAAGAGAATGGATCAGGAAGTAGAGTGGGATAAGGAAATCAGACGTTAAATGTTATAGAGTCAGACGATCATCCTTGACGACTACTTGGTGAGACCATTCACTCAGAAAAACCTTTCAGTCGATAAAAATTAACTGAATTTTATTAATTTGTTAAAAAAGAAATATCATGCCAAATCCTGTCAAAGATACCAAGGAAAATAACAAGTGCTTCCCGAATGTCAACGAGGGCGACACCCGATATGTAAGTGGCAAATGCTAGATGATAGTGAAAATAATAATAATCGCTAATTGTGAACCAATTTTGAGGAATCTTTTTTTAAGGTTTTATATTTCTTAGTCCACTAAAAATGGTTAAAAAAATACTTTTAATGAAAATTTTGAGCAAAAACTAACACAAAAAACTAAAAACAATACAATAATTACCACTTACTAACTTTTGAAATAGGGCGCTTTGATATTTCATACACTATCTTAGCACCAAATTTGATAGAAGAAACTTTAATTGCTTTGTTTTCTCCTTATTTCCCATATTTATATTATATTTCAATGTGATTCTTAAATCACTTTATGTAGGGATGTTGAAAAAAACAGAATTTCAGTGATTGCCTTACACAAAGTGGGTATGGAGCCGTTAGTAATTTTTAAGACACTTCAGGTGGGCTTTTAGCAGGGGACTGTGAGCTCAATATGGTCAAAAAATTAAAAGTAAAAGCTTAGATTTCTCCTTGAACCCCGCACACAAAAGATAACATGCCCAGATTTCGTACCTGCAGCTTATGAGAATTAATCTATCAAATCTAGCTTCTGGACAATGTTTCAGATTTCATAAAGATCGGCCCTTGTTCAGTCCAAATCTGAACCCATTGGATTGGACAAACTTGGTTGGTACTAAAGGATAGGGCCCACTTAAAATATTACTCCAATGATGAGACTCTCAATAAACCTTTAGAGCTAGCAGTACCTGAATTAATGCAGTGGGGGATCCACTGCACTGCAACAAGTCAGCTCTGTGAACTTGGAACCCAAACTAAAAAAAAGTCCATTTACTCTTAGCTTGAAGGCACCTATATTGTAATCGGAAAATCTCACCAGATGAGACCAATTGTGAAGAAGGCCTAGATATTTCTTCGCATAGTTTTAGCATAGCTCAAGTTGTGATTGGACGAAAAGACAGGCATCGGCAAATTATTCCACTCTTTTGCTGTACGCATTACGAAAGATTAAATAAACGTTTTGTGTGAATGCGTAGAATATCGACAGCAAAGGAATGAAGGACGCCTACCGTCTGTTGTCCGAAGGTGAAATGAGGAAGAGGAATTAAGGAATGTAATTCCTGCGCACATTCTGGCTGGCTTGCTACTCTGAACCTGTGCTGTGTGCCATGTAAAATTGGTTCCAACTAAATCAAGGTCACCATCAACCCTCTTAGCACGACTCTCTGCTAAATGCATCACTGTTAAGTGGCATTTTGCAGCACTAGTCTACATAACTTGACAGCAGTCCATGCTCGATCCGACTTGCGCTTGATTGGGTCAGTCGCTGCCCCAGTATAAAGTAAATAATACCCTTGTTAGGACATCTAGTTTCCTTGCGGTAGTTTAGGCCTTGGACTCAATGAACCGCTTAAAGTTGAGCTATGGAAAAATATCAACCCCTAACAACTGAAGGTTAAATCTCACATCCCGGAAAGTAGGAGAGTGGTCTACTTTTTGCAGTGAAGTGATACACTTGTATTTTGGAGGCGTTCACACAAGATTAGCAACGCCACATTCAGTGACTTCCTGCAATGAGAGATTGAGAGGCGCTAACCATCTCTATTGGACTGGATTTGATTCGCACTGGCCTGAGCTTTCGGCTGGTAACTACTCACAGCAGGATGAGAGTTGCAAAGAGAATGGATCAGGAAGTAGAGTGGGATAAGGAAATCAGACTTTAAATGTTATAGAGTCAGACGATCATCCTTGACGACTACTTGGTGAGACCATTCACTCAGAAAAACCTTTCAGTCGATAAAAATTAACTGAATTTTATTAATTTGTTAAAAAAAGAAATATCATGCCAAATCCTGTCAAAGATACCAAGGAAAATAACAAGTGCTTCCCGAATGTCAACGAGGGCGACACCCGATATGTAAGTGGCAAATGCTAGATGATAGTGAAAATAATAATAATCGCTAATTGTGAACCAATTTTGAGGAATCTTTTTTAAGGTTTTATATTTCTTAGTCCACTAAAAATGGTTAAAAAAATACTTTTAATGAAAATTTTGAGCAAAAACTAACACAAAAAACTAAAAACAATACAATAATTACCACTTACTAACTTTTGAAATAGGGCGCTTTGATATTTCATACACTATCTTAGCACCAAATTTGATAGAAGAAACTTTAATTGCTTTGTTTTCTCCTTATTTCCCATATTTATATTATATTTCAATGTGATTCTTAAATCACTTTATGTAGGGATGTTGAAAAAAACAGAATTTCAGTGATTGCCTTACACAAAGTGGGTATGGAGCCGTTAGTAATTTTTAAGACACTTCAGGTGGGCTTTTAGCAGGGGACTGTGAGCTCAATATGGTCAAAAAATTAAAAGTAAAAGCTTAGATTTCTCCTTGAACCCCGCACACAAAAGATAACATGCCCAGATTTCGTACCTGCAGCTTATGAGAATTAATCTATCAAATCTAGCTTCTGGACAATGTTTCAGATTTCATAAAGATCGGCCCTTGTTCAGTCCAAATCTGAACCCATTGGATTGGACAAACTTGGTTGGTACTAAAGGATAGGGCCCACTTAAAATATTACTCCAATGATGAGACTCTCAATAAACCTTTAGAGCTAGCAGTACCTGAATTAATGCAGTGGATCCCTATTTCTCGACACACACGACAAACACACAGTGTTATTTTATTAAAACAATTAACAGATATATGAAGTGAGTATATGAAGACCAATATTTAACTGAAATAATGATTGTTATTAAATCATTATTTCAGTTAAAATATTAGTCTGGTGCAAAATTATTAGAAACTAAGCAGAAAAACATATCCTTTTAATACACATATAATACATACCATGAGCACACCAAAGGACCACCAGTCAGCAGCAAATGTATGACCTCTTCTATTCACAACCTCAGGTGCCATATATTCAACAGTACCACAAAAACTATAAGCTTTATCACTACTTGGTGGAAGTTTCGACAAGCCAAAGTCTGTAAGGGCTATATGCCCATCAGCATCAAGCAAAATATTCTCTGGTTTGAGGTCCCTGTATATGATTCCTAGCTGATGAACATGTTCTAAGGCTAGAGCAAGCTCGGCTAAATAAAACTTCACATCCTCTTCTGTAAACATAACCTGTTATAATGTTAAATTGAGATAAAGTAAACATTCACAACATAATTAATAATAGTTATATTTAGACAACCACAAAGTACAATTTTCCTATAAACTTTGTTAATAATAATTACCTCTTTGCTTAGACGTGAGAATAGGTCACCACCACGGAGGAAGTCTAGTATCAAATATAATTTGCCTGCAGTTTGAAAGGCATAATGCAATTTAACAATAAATGGGTGGCCCATTTCAACTAAAATATTTCTTTCCATTTTTGTGCGCTCTCTGTCTCTTACTTTTAATGTAGCTTTTTTAAGTACCTAAAACAATTAAATGTACATTACTTGAATGAACAAACAAAAAAAATTAACAAAAACAAAAAACTTAAATTAAGCTTTAAGATTGTTTGTCTGCAATTATTTTAATATATATTAAAAACATTATTAAAATTGATATCATATTGTATATTAGGGTCAAGAGGAACACACAATTAAGCTGGCTAAAATTAGGTGTATTAGGGTTGGTTAAACCTAAGTGTTATAATTTATAACTTAGATAAATATTTGCAACTTTGGACTTTACAAACTGCATACCAAATAACATAATGATTGATACATGCTTTTGTATTTTAGACAATTGAAAAATAATATATAAGTTTAACCAACCATGGCTGTACCCAGCTGTAGCTTGACTAAACCTAGGTGTATTTATTGAGTACAACTAAACCTAACTTATTAAAGAAAATTACCTTCATTGCGTAAAGAGTTCCTGCATCAGCACCACTAACTTTTCGTACTAAAAACACTTTACCAAAAGAACCTTCACCCAGCACTTTCAGCAACTCGAACTGTGATGGATCAGCCTTTTCATGGCCTTCTTTAATAACATCTTGCAATTCTACCTCACGCTCATAACTGACATCACCTGTTGAGTCAAGGCTTTCTGTTGTAGAAGCTTGACGGGATTCAGCTGAATTTTCTACAACGATTGGAAGACTGTTTGTTGGTTGATTATTGGCGCCACGCTATATGTGAATAAATAAAATATATTTAGTTCAATTAACTCTGTGGTGAATGATCATTAACAACAAAGAATTTGTCTTTTAATATAATATAAAATTATCACGTAAGTGTTACACTGGATATAAGAAATACTAGATGTAATTTTTAAATGCGACCTGATATATGTTTATCTTAAATGTATATTATTTATATTGTTATCGCATGTTTGTGAAATCTTATTTGACAAATAAATAGATATACCAAAATAATTGCGAAAATAAATCTCCAACCATAAAATAATTATTTAAATACCGTATTATCACCAACATTTTGCATTCGCCAAGGATCGGAGGAATTTGCCAAAGGCATGTTTTCTGGCTTCCAGATGCAAACATCCAACAAAAAATTAAGTTTTTGAAATCTGTAAAACAATTACACTACTATTACACCATATTTTACGTAATTTGTGTATTGACCCGTGTAATAAATAAAATACGAAAGGGAGGTACAAAAAACGACGAACTTTGGTTTTTTGATATTGTCATTGTATGATAATGACATATGCTAAACGTCATACACACGTGACAGAGTATATATTATGCGAGTAAGCGTCTGTACTCTTTGGTATAGCGCAAAAAGTATTATGTAGGCTCAGAAGGGCTAGAACCTAGAGCCGTATAGCCAGTTTATAAAAAAAGTATAAGTATTGCACTTATGGTTCATAAAAGATAGCATACTTTTATGGGCATGCCGACCTATAGGTTGGAATGCCCATAAAGTATTACATTAACAGGTACTGTCTGTACTACTAAGAAATTCAGGACTTCGTAGGCGTGATTTTACTGACAGCTGTCGCAGAGATAAAGCTATCTTTTATGAACTATAAAAGATCAAACTTATTGCGCGGCTATAAATGTTTCTCTAAGATTCTATTTCCATCATTTCACTCATTCGAATCGTCATTCATCATTACAGCCCTTCAAAATTTCACTGCTGGGTCTCACCCAATAATGCCACAAAGCACGGTCCTTAGCAACCTGCTTCCATGTTACACTTATACCGGTAGTTGTCGGGAGCACTAAGCTCGAAGTTGTTGACGATTTAGAATAAATGCGTGTTGCCAGTGATGACTTATGGATCTGAGACCTGGACCTTCACTGCTGGCCATATGAGGAAGCTCAAACTCATTCCAATGATTGACCGAAATTAATGTACGTCTCGTTCGCTCTTACAACTTTCATTCACTTGTTTTAAGCAAACGCCGCAGGATTGTTTTTATGTATTTTTTTGGATATTCGGAAATTTTGCCTATCTAGTTATATTTTATTATATTTTACAATATATCTGTGCATTAAATAACACAATTCTTCGCTAAAATTCTATAAAAATGCATATCTATTAGTATATATACCATTCTTACAGATATCTTATAAAATAACAACTGATACATTTTTCGTTGGCCCATTATTGATAAATAAGCATGAGAGCTAATATCATAATGTTATCGTCGTCATCAGCCTGCAAGTATAGTAGATACTTGCAGGCTGATGACGATCACTGACATTATAATTTCTAGACCATTGACATAATAAACTTCAAAAACTTTTACTAGGTACGTCGTTTAAGTTTTCATAATTGCCTGTACTTATACATTTTAGAAATATATTGTCTTGTTATTAATCTAATAAAGACATTTTGATTTACTTGTCAACGATTTGTAATAATGCAAAAGTATGGCACCGAAGAAATTAAGACACCAGAAAAACTAAATGTTGACAATATCACTAATAAATTAATAGGAGATTTTGGACGGTGGCAGCTACGTATAAGTATACTAATGTCTTTACTAAAGTTATCTCTAGCTTGGTATCAATTAAACATAATATTTTTGGCTCCACCACAAGAGTTTTGGTGTGCCAAGCCTGAGTCATTTGCAAAATACACTGATGAGATGTGGCGAGAAATTTGTGTACCGGTAATCTTTATTTATTACTTGCTATAATTTCGTTGCATGGAATTATATTTATTCTCATTAAGTCTTAAATGAAATAAAATATAGCATTAACTTATATCTTACTAGCGTATGTAGTCTTTCCTCATGTTGCAACATGTCATTCTGCGATCTGTATTTATGAGATAGTAAAGGTCTATCCCCATTAAAATTTTCCATACCATGGCCGTAACCGTAGTAGACATACGAAAAATATTATTCATATAAAAAATGCAACAATGCTCTCTAGCCCGTGTCGTCACCAAACATTGACCGTAAGATGCTATAACTGGACCATATTCACGATAAGCATATCAGGCAGGTATCGATACGCTCCTATCGACTTTACCAAAATTCTCTATGCTGGCGACAGCAGACAGTATACCAGCGTAAAATAGTAACTTAATGCTGCCTTGTTCTGGACGCTGAATGTGGAGAACCAGATACCCTTTTTCTTGAAACGAGGCATTCCATCTCAGTTCTCAGGAGTGACAACGCATCTGCATTTTGATTCTTAATCGAAGAGACGTGTGACATGTCCATGGGCCACAGCATCTACGACTATGTGCTCGTATTTCACCCATATACTATAAAAGGACACTAAGTCTCCTGACTCATCTTTCTGTATAAAATAAGTATATATATATATATATATATATATATATATATATATATATATATAGAACCGACAACCGTTGGGGTAGGCGTCGTTGCTGTCCTCTGCAGGGCATAAATGCCGTGCAGGTCTCGGGCCTCGGGGTGTACCCCTTTACCCGGATGTTCCTCACGGCACACTACAATGTGCCGGTCCTGGGCGCCTTGATGTTAAAGGCGTTGCTATAACGACTATTGTCGCAGTCGGTAAATTTATAAGAAAAAGAGGTTATCTAATAATTGTGTTTAAATAACACAATTTTTGTCAAAGTTGGCCTTTCTGCGGCATTGAGGGGTTTACTCGGACTCCCTAATCTATATAGGGAGGAGTTCTCTTGGATAAGGTCGCCCGTCCGGCGGCCTTGCATGCAACGGCGCGAAGCCGTTGAGGTGTTCATGTGGCCCGTTGTCGGCACGGTCAAACATACCGCGCGCCAGCCGGACCACGAATTCATGAAGGCTCTCTATCTTGAGGTTGGCCGCTATGACGTCATTACGGACGTAGCGACCCGCACCGACTATAGTTCTTAATGACAAATTCTGCTGGGCCTGAAGTCGCCGCTTCTGATGATCGCTCAGGAGTGCATACCAGGCCGGAGCAGCGTATGTTAGCAGGGGTCTTATATAAGTTTTATAGATGGTTATCTTCGACTTTGTCGGTAAATTGGATGTCAGGACAGGACGTAGCATTGCCCGCGCACATCGAGCTTTGCGTATAGCAGAGTCAACGTGCGCAGTCATACGCAGCATCCTGTCAATCCGACATCCAAGGTAGGTCACGGCCTTCTCATATGCGATCTCCTGGCCTCTGAGGGTTAGCGGTGGTGGTAGGTTTCTATAGCGGCGAGTGAGTAGAGCGGTCGTCTTGCTAACATTGACGGCCATCCTCCACTCATCCAACCATGGTGGCAGCAGGTCCAGCAGACGTTGCATCCTGGCAGCTGCTATGTGGGCTCTTCTGGACGACGTGAAGTATGCGCTGTCATCCGCAAACAGTGCTAGTTCGACGTCGTCCTCCCATTCTTGCAAGTGTCCTGCCAGGGTGGGTATGTCATTAGTGTACGCCGCGTACAGGGCTGGAGATAGACAGCTGCCCTGTGGCACACCAGCTGTTATGGTCTTAATTGCGGACTCGGCGTCCTCTACGCAGACGTAGAACTTCCTGCCTTCCAGGAAAGACGCCATTAGCCGCAATATAGCAGGAGGGATACTTGTTTGCACATCTAATTTATAGAGTAGTCCTGTGTGCCACACCCGGTCGAACGCCTTCTCGATATCGAGAAAGACGCCCAACGATATGCGGCCACGGTTGTGTTCGGCCGCAAGCAGGTGCAGCACTCTGGTCAGCTGTGTTGCTGTTGAGTGACCCCTCCTGAATCCATGTTGCTCCGCCCGAAGTTGGATGCACGGGCGGAGACGTCTTAACAGTAATCTTTCGCACAGTTTAGCTATATGCGGTAGCAGCGTGATCGGCCTGTAGTTGGCAGCTCTACGCCTGTCCTTCCCGGGTTTCGGCAAGACGATGACTTTGCCTTTCTTCCAGTCCTCCGGGAAGTGGGATGTCCGCAATATTCCATTGTAGAGCCGACCTATCTCTACAAGGACTCTATTGGGCAGCTGTCGTAGTGCAGCGTTAGTAATCCCGTCGTGCCCCGGCGCCTTCCTCGGTTGCAGGCGGGTTACTGTCCTCCGCAGTTCGGCGGGGGAGATAAACCACTCTCCTGCAAGCGGTGGCGCGGGCGACGACAGGAGCTCCTGCACGCGGCTTTCCTTCCGTGAATGGGATTCCAGGAACTCCGCACTTGTAGGGTTCGGCATAAACTGCTCCTCGAAGTGCTCAGCTAGGATATCCGCTCTGCCCTTGGCATCGTAACGTTGAATGCCCGCGTTGTTGGTCAGCGGGCAAACAGGTGGTCGAGTTTTCGTTAACTGCCGGTTCAATGTGTAGAGCGACGCGTGCTGTTCATCAGCTTTCCATATGCGCCGCTCCCAGGCCTCTCCTCTGTGGGCCTGTATTGCAACCGACAGTTCGTCTGACAAGGTGTTTAGTTTTCTCTTTACTCTAGGGCAGCGAGTACGCGCCCAGAGCTTCCTCAGCGCTCTTTTATGATTAAGCTGCACGCGTATCTTTAGCGGCAGCTCCTCTTTCCTTCCCGAGAGAGGGACGATCGTAGAGGCCGCATTGAGGGCCTCCTTGATGCTTGTGGAAATTCTGGTTGCAGCGGCCTCTACGTCGTCCGCTGAGGTAATCGGTGTATGGACTGGAGGTCTCTCCTGCAGGTGTTGGTGGTAGAGCCTCCAGTCGATCTTGGTCTTACTGGCTCTGGGCGGTGAGGTCACTGCCTTAGTGCCAAGGGTTATCAGAATCGGGAGGTGCTGTGTATTCAGGTCATACAGCACTTCTACCACTACTGGATAGTTGACGTTCCTAGTGAGCACGATGTCTAATACATCCGGACGCTTCCTATGGTCGCTAGGAATGTGCGTCGGTTCCTCGGGACCTAGAACGTCATAGTCGTGGTGTTCATCGTCTTCGTACAGTTCACGACCCGGCGGGGTGATCACTCTGAACCCCCACGCCGGGTGTTTGGCGTTCAGGTCCCCGGCGATGATGGTGGGTGTTGTGCCTTCCATTACCGTCCGGATGTCTGAGGAGTGAAATGGAGTCCCTGGCGGGCGGTATGCTGCAAAGATCCTAAGTTCCTCGCCCGCCGCCTCCATTTTT